TTTTTAGACAAAGGCTAAACTCTTGCCTAAAATTCCCTTGCCTTAAGGCTCTTAGTTAGTAAAGGCTAGAGATGGTGTCATGATAAAAATAATCACCTTGGGTAAATATTAACTGTATCAAGCTACAGTCTAGTAGAAGGCCTCTTAGACAAAGAATTTAGGGGTAAGCAGAATAATTTTATCAACCAGCCACAAACCCTTTCATCTATTAGGCTGGTGTTGATGCAAACCTGTGTTACACTTTTACCTGCCTATGATGATGAATGGTGGATCTTCTTGACTCTATTTATAGGTTTTTGCTTGTTCCTTTATGATAGTGGTTATGGAACTCCTGTTATCTCCTAATGAGTTTACTATTCTAAAACTCAGTTTAATAGTTCTGAGGGCGGTTGGTAATAAGGTTTCTTAAACTTTCTGGTAGCTCTCAGAAGGGCTGATTCCATAAACAATTGTAAAATATTGGAATATTAACAGTGCTATGTTGCAGTTGATGCCCAAAATAACCCAATATAAGAGCTCTTCAGTCTATCACCTTTCTCCTTGTTCTTTATCGCTCTAACAGCACTTAACCTGCTTTTATTCCTTCTCAAGTCAAGCCTCTTTCTACTACATACTTTTCAACTTCTTGTGCAGCTGCTATATCTAATCATAATCATTTTTTCATCTTTTTCAAAAGAATAACTCTCTTGAGAACAAACACCTTCTTATTGTTGCAAAAAATCAATATAAAAATATGCTGTCTGATGCTAAGCTCCATTATTCCCAGTTTACTAAATCTCATATGTTATCTCAAAAATTAGGCTCAATTGCAACATTCGATCTAGGTATCTATAATGACGTTCGATCTAGGTATCTAGTGACTTTTGGATAATCTTTAACAGCGTCATTAACAAAGGTGAGTCACCATTTCTAATTCATGGGATCTTATTACCACTATCAGAGCTATTTGCAAATAACGCTTCTTCTAATTCGATTCTTGAATCTTATAGCCATACTTTTCTTGACACTCCAATTAAACAGGCTAACCAATTGTTAGACATTTAAATCGCTTCAGCTTTTGTAACTAAAGTCATATCTCAATTAAGTTCTTCTATGACTCGTAGTCCAGACAACATTCCTGTCATAGTCTTACAAAAGTATTTTCCAGAACTCTATCCAATTCTCTCTAAACTATTTAAAAAGTGCTTAACTGAATATTGTTTTTCTGTCTTTTGGAAAATGGCATCTGTGGTTCCAATTTTAAAAAAATCTGGAGGATTTTCTGACCCCTCTACTTATTATTTGATCCGTCTTCTCTCTATTATAAGCAACGTCTTTGAGCCTCTGATCAACAAATCATCTTCTAACATCTTGAGTCAAATAATTTACTATCTGACAATCAATACGGTTTTTGATCTTTTTATTCTATGGCTGACTTACTAACTGCTGTGGCTGAAAAATTCTATTGTGCATTAGATGGAGGTGGTAAGGCAAGGGCTATTACTGTTGATATATCTAAAGCTTTTGATAAAGTTTGGAATGCTGGTCTTCTCTAAAAGTTTGCTTCATAAGATGTATCTGGGAGTGTTTTTGATATTATCAAGTTGTTTCATTCTAACCCCTTTGTTGAATAAAATAATAAGGTGTGTGTATCTTTTATAGTTAGAGTCACTAATAGTTAACTGAGCAACAGAGATTTAAGCACAATATAAGATTTAAACACAAATGTAAATATAGTAACTTGTCTAAAATATATGAGTACCTCAAGGTTCTATCTTTGGTCCTGTTTTGTTTTTTATCTGCATTAGTGATGTTCCTTATATCTTTTCATCTAAGGTGGCTCTACTTGCTGACAACTTAATTTTACACTCCTGTTTTGACAAAAAGCCTTTTCTTTTCGATTGCTTAAAACAGGAATCTGATCTCACTTTAGTAACAGATTGGGGCTTGTAGTGGCTTGTGAATTTTAACTCAAACTAAACTCAGATATTTACTGTAAACAACTATTTCAATACTGTTGACATTCCTAAATTAATGAGTAGCAACCCTCTCACTGAGTTTTCTTCTTTACATCTTCTTAGATTATCATTTACTACTGACCTCTCATGGAAGTCATATATACAATTGATTGCAAAGTTACCATTGCTTAGATTGTTTTTCTTTATTGTACTCACCATTATCTTACTCCTGATTCCATTCTCTACCTCTACAAATCTCTAATTCCTCTCTGCATGGATTACTGTTGTCATATTTGGGGTAGTTCTTCTAATGATGCTTTTTCTTTTCTAGACAAGGTCTAAAAACACATTGTAAATATAGTTGGATTTGCTATCTGCCAAGCATGAACCTCTCTCCCATTGTTGTAAGGTTTCATAACTGATCAAGACTTACTACAAGTAAGTTAGTAGTAAGGTTATTATTGTATTATCTAAAATATAAAGGAACGCAACATACATAATATAAATATAATAACACAAATTGCAATCACACAATAACACAATATTACAGTCTTCCACCCTTCCAATAGTTCCCACCCTTCCAATACATCAACTGACAAATAGCCTGACTCGCAGTGGAGTGCTGCGACATCGACTGAGAGTTTGGGATGGGGCAGCAATCGTTTCATTCATCATTCTTCATTTTTTTTTTCTTCTTTTTCTAAAAAAGCTGTATGGGTTAAGGTAAGCAAAAAAAGTGAGCAAATGCTTATAAAAATACGCTTTAGTAAGTGTATATATATATATATATATATATATATATATATATATATATATATATATATATATATATATATATATATATATATATATATATATAAATTAATATAAAAAAAAATATATATAAATTAATAAAACATACCATAAAAAATTTTCTACCTATTTGTCAGTTGACGTATAGTGTACTCCATGCATGTTCTACCAATTTGTCTGTTGATGTACACTCTGCTGCGCTAATTCCTAAATAAATTAGTCAATAAAACAAAAATGAAAAACAAATAAAGGAAATATATTAATTAATAAAAACAGAAAAAATTTAAAAATAAAATCATTCTGATTGTTTTTGTTTTTTGTTTAAAGTTAAACAATATTCTTGTTGCATGCATTTCTTGCATTTTTGTAGTTTTTTTTTTAAACAAAATTAAAAACAATTTTTTTTTTTTTTAAATAAAATTTTTAAAATTTTAAATAAAGATTGCTGCGCTATCCCAGACTGAGGGTCTGGGATAGCGCAGCAATCTTTATTTTTATTATTTATTTTCTTCATCTTTTTCTGAAAACGCTGTATGCTATAAAGATAAGCATAACTAGTAAGCAAATACTGATCAGTATAGTATAGTATACAAGATGCAGATGTTTATATTATGCAGATGTTTTTTAGAAGATTATATGTGAAAATCAGTAATGATGCTTTAAAACTTTAACCACAACTTACTAATGAAAATCATTTTTGAAAAATCCAAACATGGATTTGGCCACTTAACAAAAAAATGTAGTTTAAACGAAAAAACGTTGCAATAAATGTTTAAAAAATTAATGAAAGTTGCAAATCACAAAACTAGATTATCAAATAAAATACAAAAAAATTAAAATTGCATAAGATCTCAATTAAATAATTGCTATAATATTGTGAACATTATATAAGAATTGCTCATTTGAGATGCTCATTCAATATGCAAAAATCACCAAAAAAATGGCATTAAAACTTTCATTAAAGTTTAATAATGAGAATTATTTTTGAAAAATCAAAATATAGTGTAGTTAGGCTATTTAACAAAAAAACCTAATTTAGATTACGAAACATTGCAATACATGTTTATTAAATTAAAGGAAGTATGTTTTAAATCGTAAAACTTTTGTTTTTAAAACAAAGTTCAAAATACAAATACAAATACAATGAAATACAAAAATTCCTAAAAAATTGCAAAGGCATTTCAATCTTTATAATTGTATCTGGATGTCTTGTGGCCTTTCTGTAAATTATTTTCTTGGAGCCAAGGTCTTTACTGATATTAGTCTTATCATAGCTCATTACATTAGAGGGACAATGTCCTCAGGTTATGCAAATTGTTGAAAAAAACAAACAAATAGTTTTTCACTAACAGCTGCATTGCCCTATAAAATGTTCTGAACAATTCTCTGTAGAATTAGGTTGTGAAGTGTTTTAACACAGCCAGATCCAGCTCTTCATCCTGCTGATGAAGTGCTTTTGTTATTGCTCAATTTTGAGTAATCACAAGCTCTTACTCAGCAGAAAAAGCAGTTGAACAAATTTCGATAACAAGGTGTCTAATTATTTTTGGTCTTCATAGATAATTTCTAAGAGTTGATCTAGAAAATTTGTAGGTCTCAGAGGTCCTTTTAACTGGAATACTATGGATTGGTTGCTGTATGCTTAACCTTCCTTTGTTTGTATGTGCATGGTATATTGCAACTGATTTAAAAAAAATTATAATTTGATTAATTTATCAACCAAATCACATATGGCCATATTACCCCAATTTTTAAAATGGCCAATTTACCCCACTTACCTTAAGGTAAATGCTTTGAGCTTTAAAATACACTTACCTAAGTAGCTCATAGAGATCTAGTTAAAATTTTGGCCAAATTGCACCTCAAATATTTGTTTAGCAATAGCGTTTTTTAAAATTTGAAAAAACTAAAACATGACATGGGAAAAACATTCAACAACAAGACTATTATTATTTAATTTTTTTTGTTACAAATATTAAAATGTCAGGTTGATGTTGGGCTATAAAAAGTATGTAGAGTGGTACACTGCATCTTAAAAACTTTAGCAGATTTTAGCAAAAACTGATAAAAATGCTCAACTGGTCATATTTCCCCATGATGGCCATATTACCCTATCTGACGATATATATATATATATATATATATATATATATATATATATATATATATATATATATATATATATATATATATATATATTCATATTCATATATATGTATATATTTAAAGATATACATGCATTTATGTGTATGTGAACTTTATTTTTTTAAGTTATATTCTGAAGAAAAGTTAACATTTGGATTACATTCGTAAATAAAAAGTAGATCATGACAAGCGTTACTGTGTTGGTCAGGGCACGACCATTGAGTTCAAGGTATCTATATTTCATTATTAACTTTAAATATGTTTCAAACTTTAAAAGTTATTTATGTTTTAATAAGATAAAAAAAAAAGTTTTTAAAAAAAAAGGTCCTCAATTTTTAATTTGGGCACGGCCCAAATAAAAAATTAAGGACCTTTTATTTTGGGCAATTGAGGACGTTTTTTTGGGCCATTTTTAATTTTGGCGCGGCCCAAATTAAAAATGGAACCGTTTTTTTTTTTTTTTTATGGCAAATATTTTTTTTTTGGTGCAAAAAAACGCCTATATTTAGCAATATTTCCTCTAAACTTTACCGGGACAGATATATTTAATATATAAAAATAATATAAATAATAAAATAATAGAAAGCTGTAGTAGTTTGAAAACTACGAGTGATATTATTAGTCAATAATTTCACTTTAGCAGCATTGTTAACATAAGCATATTTTACCTAGAAAAGCATAACAATGTTAAATAATTTTAAAAATTAAGATACATTGTTTAGTTTTTCTAGATAAATAAAATTATAAACTACGAATCATTTATTTATTAATGCGAGTTTTGAATAAGTTTAAGCAGTTAGTTATGTTCCACATAGATGATTTTATGTTTTAAGCAGTTAGTTATGTTCCACATAGATGAGACTCTATTGATTAAGAATCGATGATAAAGCAGTTTTTAACATTTTCTCTTCTGATTTTGAAATTATTGCCGCTTGTGTTGGCTGATATGAGGCAAAAATATTACTGTCTAGTTCTATATTATTATTTTTTTAATATAATTTGTACATATGAAATATTTCGCCTCTTTTATTTCTTTTTTCTAGTATACTTAAGCCAAGTATTTTAATTCTTGTTTCATAACTTTGTTTTTGAGTAAGCTTTTGATGTACAGTTGGTAACTTTTCCATTAGAAATTTTATGACATTGTAATTCAAAGATCTTTTTCGGTATCAAAGAATATTATTATTTTGTCACCTAGTTTATAAATATAGCAATGGTTATTTTTTCCAAAGTGCATAATACAACATTTTTCACTTATAAATTTCAATTGCCTTATCTCTGACCATTAGGAGGCTTGGTTAATTTTATTCCAAAGCAATTGACCATTCTCAGAGTTAGCTACTTTCCTGTTTAACTTGTTGTCATCTGCAAAGAGCTTGTGAATGTGGATGTATATAATGAATAAGATTGGAAAAATTACAGTTCCTAGGGAAACAATGATTGTTTTCATTTCTCAGTTTGATGCTTCATTGCCTTGTATCACTTTTTGGTGTTAATTAGCTAAAAAGTTGCTAATCCAGTTGCATGACATTTAATAATTCATATGACTTAAATTTGATTAATAATCTTTCAATAATATAAAAAATATAAATACTAAATGTTTTCCGCTAGCTATTTACTTAAAAGGTCCATTTTTTTCATTAGATATATACCAAAATAATATAAAAAATATATAAATAAAAATCCTAATATACATTTGTTATTTTATATTAAATTACCTATTTTTTGTTTTTAGTTAAAAAATATCATTTTCTGTTCACTAAAATCTAAAATAATAATTTAATAATAAAATGATTCACCTTTTTGAAATTTATTTTTTCACCTTATAGTATTGTAGCATGTTTTGTTGCCATTGAGAATGTCAGATGTCTGTAACAACATCACCTGACAAAATACAGTGTTAGCTTAGATAACATTAAAATTGCAAATAACATATGTTAAAAAAATGCATAAGTAAAAGTAAAGAAATGTGACGTTTGTTTTTCTATCTTTCTATATTTTTTTAAAGTCTCTTTCGACTACTATATAAGGATAAATATGTATACTGTTTCGAAAATTTTAAAAGATATTTTTTTTGAATACATACTTTGATTGAGTATTCGAGAGACAATGTATGAATCTAATTTTTTAGTAGACTTAGTGATAAAATAATGATATACAATTAAAAGTTTACCAGAGATTTTGTGTGGCAGCCTTCATTTTAGCTCTAAAAATTAATAAGCTAATTTTTTTGACAAAAGTTGAATAAATGAGACATTTCTTGGGAGTATTAAGTCTTGACAGTGCTATTTTTAAATTCCTTGATTGATATTCATAAATCAGAATAGATTTTTATCTATTCTGATTTAGGAGTATCACTCAAACCATTAACAAGATATAGTATCTCAAAGTTGCATTGTTTTGTCATTAGGTCCAAAATGCTGAATCAGCATTATTTTAACTTATGATATCTCATCAACAAACATATTTTTAGGTAAACCTTTTGCAGTTTTATTTAACTGCAAATGATACAATAGCAATTGTATCATTTGCAATAACATGGTCTGGATGATGTCATATGAAATGATCCAATCTATTTTTTTTTTGCAAATTAAAAGTATAAGTGTTTTAGATTTTAGACTAATATAATTTTGATTATTACATTTTAACAAAATATTTAATAAATGCTTAATCTTTTTTTTTGGATAATCATAAAAAAATTTAATGAAAAAAACTCTTTAAAACTCAAACATAAATCAAAGTAAGTGACTTAAGTTATTTATGGCATTTAATATTTATTTTGAGGAAATAAAAGCAACAGGAAAATACATTTGTTAGCAAAAAAAAAAAAATTCAATTTTTTTAAAAGAAATCATTCTATATGTAACCTTCCATATGAACCACAAAAAAAAACATTCTCTTGTCAATGTTTCAAATTGGCAACACAAATATTGGCTACACAATTCAATCAAATTAATCAAGCTTGTTGTGAGAACTATGAGTAAGTAAAAAGAGAATAAAGATGGCAGCCTACAAATTCTTTTTGACTAGTTAAGGCACTTTGTAATAAAAACATAATCCAACAATATTGTGATTAAATTGGTTATTTGAGCATCTTTAAAAACCATAAAACAGAAACTCTTTATCTGTTAGTATGGTATCATTGCTTAAACTAGAAATATGAATAATTCATAATAAACTATATAGTTATTGTAATAAACTATAATTATTATAATTAATATGGTAAATGTTAATCATGATAATCTTCTATATAATATTGCCGAACTTAATAGTTTTAATAGTAGTAGTAGTAGTAGTAGTAGTAGTAGTAGTAGTAGTAGTAGTAGTAGTAGTAATAGTAGTAGTAGTAGTAGTGTCCCTTGGAGCGTATTTGACACGAAATCCTTGGCAGCCATTGCAACCGAGGTATTGGCAAGAAAGAGTCGCAGCACTATAAGAAAACGTGAACAAATATCTAACGTACGTAAACTTTAAACTAAGTAATGTTTAAGGCATATGTTAAAAAATTCTGAAACATTTATCATGTTTTACAGTTTCATTTTTACTTGAAAATTACATTGCGTCAAGCTCTCCTTAATTTTGATCTAACATTTTTTTCCTCAAAAATAATTACTACATTATTATAAAATCTACGCCTTATGATATGCCGGAGTAGCTCGAGTGGATAAGGCGGTGAACTTCTGAACAAGGAACTAGAGGTTCCACTCCTACCAATGGCGGCTATTTTTTTAAATTTTTTAAATTATTTTAAAATACAAAATACTTTCGAAGTTTTATAAAGATTATATACAAACATATGTAACGTAATGATATTATGCACTCACAAAAGAAAAGATTATAAGAAAGCTAAAAAAAAACATCACCAGGAGAAAAAAATCGTTGCGTATGATGATTGAGTACTTATGTTATTATTGTGCTCAGGTAATTAGTCCTAATAAGCTGCGGATGGTCTAAAATAAAAGTTGTCTGAAACTTAATAAAGAAAAAACTATATTAAATAAATAAGAAAGTCCTGCTACTCAAGAAGAAGCTGCTGTGGAGGCAAAAAAAAACAACCCGTAGCTAGAAAAAAATTTAAAACTTTCTTTTGATAATCAAAAGCTTTTTTAGCTACATTTTTTTTTTTTACTATAAATATATGTTGCTTCTGTTTTTCAAAACGCCTTAATATGCTTATTACCTATTTCGAGAAAAACGCAATTTAAAAAAAATTATTTAAAATTAACTCTTTGTTAAACATTTTTTGAAACAAATAATTTTAATGATTTTTTTTCAGAAATCTTTGAAAATATGTATTCAATAATGTTTGTAGATGTATAAACTATCTTATTTTGTAAAAAAGTCAAAAATGATATTTTTAACCTTAAGGCGTTTTGAAAAATGGCTGCAGTATGGATGATACAACGAATATGTTAAAATGAGATAATTCGACGCAAAATTTAAAAGCTCTTATCAAAAGCCACTAAACCAAAAAAATTAAAAATAATTGCTTAAAAATTTTATTATAGTGAAAAATTTTATTTTAGTGAAAATAGTAATTGTAGCTCAATTATAGAAGATTGTTTATAAAATGTAAAAAGTCCACTTATACAACATTTTATTTATGATCGTATGTAATATAAGTATACTTATATTACATACGAGTAATTACAAGTCTTATATTACATACGAATAATTACAAGTTTTTTTAGGTTAAGCTGTTTTGTTTTTTTGGTTTTTGTAGTTATGTTATTATATTTTAAAAAATTGACAAGATTAAAAAAACACGAAATATATTGTCACTTCCGATTGGAAAATTTGAAACTTCAACTTTAGATTTGCTCCTCTCTCGATAATTTCTGACTTCTAAAGTTATGTCATCTGCTTCTTAGACCTTTAAAAATGATATTATATTTATTTCAATTTTTTATAAAAACTCTATATATTAAGGCGAGTTTCTACTCATCCATTTTTTCACGGGAACAGGAAAGGAGCGGGAAAAATAATCACGTGGGCATGCGTAGTATAAGTTTTAATATGTCCAAAGGAAAACTACGCATGCTCATGTGATTATTTTTCCCTTCCCTATCCCGTTCTCGTGAAAAAACGGATGAGTGGAAACGCACCTTTAAAGATATAGAATATATTTTTATGGGATATATTCTAATAAAGACAAAAAGGGCCATCCATAAAGGACGTCGTCCAAATAAGGAGAGGATGAGGGGTTCGAGATAAAAAGTACAAAAAAGAACGAGGAGAGGGAGGAGTATGTCAGAAAAGGATGTCACTTTATAGATTTTTTATTTTAGTTTAATTAATATGAAAAAATATGTAAATATATGTTTTTAAGAAGATAATGTATAAGAATACTTTTAATTTTATTTTTTAAAGGTGTAGCAGCAGATTTAAACATTGGGAGATCAAATAATTTTTTCGGGGGTTTAATTTGGTTGGGGGGCAAGATTTTATGACGTCCTTTTCAAGGCAGTATAGGGAAAAAGAACAACTGGTGATGAAGGGGGGAGGGGGTCAAAAATTTGCTAAAATCGATGACGTCCTTTATTGATGGCTCCAAAACTATTTATTACTATTGTAATAAATACAATCGGTTATCCGTGAAAATAATATATCTGTACCAGTCTTATATATTTTAATGCATTTGTATGCAACATAATAAAAATTAATAAAAAAAATGTAAGATAAATGCAAAAGGAAACTTGACGCATAAAGGTTTATTTTGCCTCAAACTGACGTCAATACGCAAAATCTTTTTGGCTTAACTTTTAGATTAGCGTTTAATAATATTCTTTAGTTCTTAATCATAATCATAAAAATGAACTTTTTTTAATGACTATGTTTTAGTGCTCTAAGATCTTCTTAGTTCCATTTGTATAACGTTACATACAAACGTCTGTAAGTGTAAATGTCTTTAGCATATGTTGAGTTTCCACGTATTATATGGAATAATTGCGTTTATCTATATATCTACAAAATAAGAAAACTTTAAAGTTTTATTTAAAATTTTTATTTTATCTTACATATTATCTTGTATATCTATAAAATGAGGAAACTTTAAAATTTTATTTTAAATTTTCAAAATCTTTTTTGCTATATTATTATTTTTTTGCTATAAATATATAAGCAAGATTGAAAAAATTTCAAAACTTGTTACGCTAAGAGGAGGTCTTAAACCTTCCAAAACAACACTGATGACAGCGCACTTAATCACTGAGCTATCAATGAAATGCAATTAGCAGAAAAATAAAGCTAATTATAAGTATCTTATAAGCTTTACGTATGCGGAAAAGGTGCGCATGTTTAGTTTTTTGCTCTAATTTTTTTTCAGAATATATTTTTTACTAAAAAACATTGAAGTAAATAAGGAATAGGTATAGAAATTTTTGGCTAGAAATAGATATGTAAATTGGTAAAGACCTGTATTTTACAGATCCAGAAAGCTAGAATATATAAGGAAAAAGTATAGAAAAGTTCGGTTTGGATTAGATATTCAAAGACCCGTATTTTTTCGGGGCCGATCTCAGCTTTTTTCATGTCATTATTTAATTTAATTTTGTTTCATTTTAGACATCATACAATGCTTTTTTAGCATTTTGCAGAACAAATAGAGGGCTCACATTCCCCACATGGTGTGGGTTCAAATTTAGGGCAAAAGCATCCCCCACTTTTTTTATATATATATAAACATGTAAAGGAGGAGAGTAAGTAATAGATACAAAAAATGCTGCGTCTATAATGAGGTTTTATGTAGTTGGTTATTCTACCAATTAAACCAAATATTGGTTAATCTACCAATCCTTTATTGATAATGCAAATTTAGTTGAATTTTTTTTGTAAACATACATTTCTTTATATATTTTGTTTTGTTATTATGTATAAATAAATAGATTTCCTTTTAATGCCAAAGTGGTTAAAGTGCTTAGCATGGGTTCAAATCCTTTCGTTTACACCTAATTTTTTAAAAATCTTTTCTAATTTTCTAGAATACAAAATAAAACATTTTTAAAGGGCTATAGATATATGCATAACATATATCAAAATATTATATACTATAATAAACAAAAGGGAGAGAGTTTTTTACAAAGCTTTTTAAAATTTCTAAAAACATGATTACACCATTAAAAATTTGTTGAGCATATGTCACGGTACTTAAGTTGTTAATGTGTTTACTTTATTATTTAAGTCTGTGCATTAAAGGAACAATTTTATTTCTTATAGAAAAATATTTTACGTGCCCTGATAATTTTAAAGAAAAAATGATTTTTCTTTAAAATTAAAACAGCAAGAATCCTAATAAGCTGCAGATTCGAAAAAAAATTAAAGACTTATTAAAGAAAAAAATAACCACTGCCCCGTTTTTTTTTTTTTAATTTTATTATAGAAATTTGTTTTATGGGTCACAACAACAAAAATTAAAAATAAAGCAAGCTGATGATTTGAACTTGCCACGCGGCGACCTTAAGTTTTTCAAAACAGTACGGGTGTTAAAAAAGTATGTTTTTTATAAAAACATAATTAAAATAATTCTAATTTTATATTTAAATGAAACCATTATATTAAAACTAATACTTCTAAAAATAATTAAATGTTAAAGTTTAACTTTTGTATTTAATATTGATATAATAAGGAAATTTAGAGTTATACTGCTATTAATTCACGCCCCCGTTAAACATACAAAACCAAGTGCGCAATGACAACACAATTTAGATAACCATTAAAATAATATTATACTCTCATTTTTTTTTGGCTTTATACACTTTTTGGCTTTTCTTTTATCTAAACCGTACAATAAGGGATTGTCCATAAATTACTCAACGTTAGATTTCACAATTGAAAAAAACAAAAATGATCTAAATTTTTAGAGCTTATTAAGTTTAATGAAAATCGTCATTCTAAAGAACAAAAGATCTCTTCTACTTTTTGAAAAATAAATTTAGCGTTGCGTAATTTTTGGGCGATTCCATAGCGTTTTATAGTTTATCTAATTTTCTGCTCTTAATGTAGTTTTTCAGAACAAAATTATTTTACTTAAAAGTATTGAAATAAATAAGGAATAGGTATAGAAATAATCAGTGTGAAATAGGTATGTATAGAAATAGTAGATTCGGTAAAAATCCGTATTTTACGGATTTGAAAAGCTAGGATATATAAGGAAAAGGTATTAAAAAGTTCGGTTTGGAATAGACTTACAAAGACCCGTATTTTTACGGGTCCGATCTCAGCTAGTAAATTATAATTATTATATAGATTCTAATAAGCAATATTAAATATTTTAGTTTTAAAGTTTATTTAACTTTTTTATTATACAGTGAGATAACTTCTGGAGCAAAAGTTATATTAAAAATGGATAAATACAAAACATTTATAAATGGTCATTATGTAAAGGTTAGTATAAGTTATGAAAATTATGAAAATATTATGCGAAGGTATAAACTTTAACTTATTTGTTTTGAATTATTTATTTTAATATCAAATGTCTATTAAAATATCAGATCTTTCTCAACTATGTTTATTTAGTGTGCATTAAAGTTTTTTTTTAACAGAAAATACAGATGATGAACATAATGATTATTCATTGTTGGTGTTAAGCTAAATTTATAGATATTCTTCTCAAATAGTGTACATGTGTGTAAAATAGTGTACATGTTTTACTAGTGTTGACACTAGTAAAACATGTACACTATGATGCATACGAAAATATAATAGTGTAAACACACTTCAGATGTGTTGAAACAAGTACAACATGTTTTAAACCTTAAGAAGTTTTTGTTTATAAAAGTATTTTTGTAGAATTGAAACTTTTTGAAAGAAATTACAAAATGTTGTGTAAAGAGGAGCTATGAAGCTAGACATACCATATACTAGAGAAAATACAAAATATTGAGTCAAACTATGTAGATATGCTTTTTTTTTCCAACATCTTTGCTTCCAACAAGGCTGCAAGCAACCACTATTAGAGTTGGAAGTTGCTTGAAAAGAAAAGATAAAGTTTATAGAGCAAGATAATGATTGACAGGCGACTTAAAAGATTGCAAACTATATGAATCAGGAAAGCAAGATGTAGAAAGGGAATTCCGAAGAACTGATCTGTTTATGATTTTATTTATAATGAATAATGAATCTTGGATATCTAGATTCTAAAGCAAGTTCTCTAAAAACTTTCGCCATGGCTGCTCTATATCTTTCAAGAAATTATATAGATACTGCAAAAAATTTTATTTTAATATTTTAATTATTTCAACTGAAATAAAGTGTGCTGAGATCCAACCAAGAGTGTTTTTAGGTTAACTGCCGACTTAAAAGTGTTAGCTACTTTTTGCCAACTTCTTTTTATGTTGTTGTTGTGAAACTTTTATGTTTAAAATATTGTGTCGATCTGATGCTAACTAGTAACAGTTTAAGGTTAGCAATAAATTAAAAAATAAGTTCGGAAATATTGCTGGCCTTATTTTTTCTAATTCGGAGGGCTGACTATAAGTTCAATAATCAAACTTTTTTTTTTCTTTTGAAAATGAAAAGAAAGCCTCAATTTACAAAAAAAAATTTGGTTATCATCATTATGTAATGAGCCATCTGGTATTGAAAAACAAGACCTAATTTAAAGCTTTACAAATTTTCAGGTAACACTTCAGTTCTTATCCTTGTTATGTATTGCATCACATTTCTATAACCATAAGTCTTATCAGCAAAAAGATCTCTAAGTATGCAGTTTGCAAAGGTAATAAGTGGTTCACCTTAAGTTACTTTATCAAAGTTTTTGTTTATGTTCAGCTATGTAACTATATCCAATAGTTTTCTCAATTTATCAGACCATTTATAGCTTAAAAGTGTTTTTCATCTAATTGAACTATTAGATGTCTGAAGGGTAGTTCATTAATGTTTAACTATTAAAAAGAAATCTCCCCTTACAGGTGGCGGTCTTATTGTTTTTTTTTTGTTTTTTGTTGTGCATATAAATTTGTTTCATATGCAACTGTGTAATTATGTTGACATAAAGATATGTACACAGTGGTTGTACTTACTTAAAATCAACTTAAGATAGGCACATAGTGGTTGAATTTAAAAAAACAAGCTATAATTCCTAATTTTGATAAAATCAACTTAAGATGCTATTTTTATGATTTTTTTTTTAAATAGACTTTTAGTTCAAAATTTATTAAAACTATTTTATTAAAATGCTATATATTGAACTTTTTTTAAAATTTCCTTCTTCTGATTAGTAATATTTTAGTCATTTTTTGAATTAAAAAAAAAATCTTATAAACAAGACATTTTTGGATATCTTTTTTCTTTTTTTTTTTTTTTGCAGATTCAGAATCCTCTTAGAATTCTTCACAAAAAGTCAGAGGGTATTTTAATTCAGAGATAACTTAAGACTTGAATTACCCCCTGAGTCAGAGTTAAAGGCTGCAGGATGAGGAGAGTTGTACAGAGTTAAAGTCTGCAAATGGGGCAAGTTGTACAAATTCACATGTTACTAAGTATATTATTCTTAATCTATTAGAACATATATTGAAACATGTTACTAGAACAAGTTACTGAAACAAATTAATAGAAAAAAAAACTGTAACATGTTACTGGAACTAATTACTTCAAAATGTTATAAAAGCAAACTACGGGAGCAACTACTGGAATATATTATTCAAATTTAATTATCTATGAGTGTTTTGAAAAAACAAACTAACTGCGAATTTATTTTGCATGTTTTAAAAATACTGGATCATTATTTAGAACTATTTTCAAACAAGTCTTTTCAAATCAATTGTAATTCAGGATCTGAATGAAAGAAACTTTTGTCAAATTAGAATTTTAATAGTTTAATCAGGTCGCAGAAAAAAAGTGACTGTTACCTTTTCTAAAACCTCATAATGTTCTTGTAAAGTTTTGGCCTAATTTAGCTGTCACTATGTTTAACCAACTATGAAATAGTGCATAGAAAAGTATTGTCAACAAAAAACTAAATTAGTAAGCTTCTTTTAACATATCTTTCAATCCAATCTGATTTTTTAAAATGTCTTTTTAATTGTATGTATATAATTAAATGTATTACTTGTAGAGAATTTTTTTTTAACCTAGAAAGAAGATAAACTGAAAATGAAAAGAAAATTGAAATCTGAGCGTTTTTTTTTCTTTGAAAGATCTTATTGGTCAGTTGATAGAAATGATGAAAATTTTGCTGATCAAAAAACAGTAATTATTTTTACTTTACTAGATTTTATTTATTTAAAGTTGTAATATTTTAACTCTTGATTATTATAGTCAACAATATTTAACAATATTTATAAGAATATAATTTTTTTTTTTTTTAATTTTTTTTTCTTATGCACAAGTGAAGATTTATTGAATAAGTCATATATCGGCTGAATCATAGAAGAGAAACAATTCTATTATGCATGTAGACACCACATTTTAGAAGGAGTCGAACCTGTTACTTTGGTTTTGTTTAACTAAAAGCCCTGATAGCTAACATTTCATGCAATTTAAAAAAAAGTTAAGAAGACATTACTGCAGAAGTTATTTTACTTGTTTACAAATAAAAACTGGCAAATGAGGTCAATAACAATGAGTGGTTTTTCTAAAAAGTTGTTTATTTATAAAAAAAACTTCTTATTTACAATCATTACCAAGAGTGAACAAGTGTTAGTATTGCTGGGAAACTTAGAAAAGTTTCCCAGCAATACTAACAAAAATATCCATAGGCCAAAGATTTAAAATGTACTTATATGTCTAATTTTGAGCTTATATGGCTATTAAAAAATATTTACTATTGTAAAGAAATCATTAATTTTAGTCCCCTATCAGTGTTGATGCGCTGATCAAAGATCTCTAGCTGATAAAGGAGATCAATGAAAGAATTTGAAGAAATCGTCAAGGTTGTTTTGATTAAAACCTTAACCAATAATTATTTGATAAAAATGCCAAACTCTAAAAAACCTTAATTGAAAAAAAAAATCAAAGATTTTGTAGCATAACACGTTATAACATTTTAACATGGATTTAAGTTAATAAAAAAAAAACTAAATTAATTAAGCACAAGTACATGAATTTGATGGTAGAACATTAGAGAACATCATCTTCAATAGGTGATGTTCCTGAATAATTTTATTAATGCCTCCAATTTTTAACAAAAATTATAAAAAGTACACTAAAATAAAAAGTTACGTAATCTTTATCTATCAATTGACTTGATGTAATGTTTGAAATTATATACGTTTTAGATTTATGATGAATATGGCACAAAAATCGTTGAATCTGCCCTTAATGGCTATAATGCATGTTTGTTTGCTTATGGTCAGACTGGTTCTGGAAAAACATATACTATGATGGGGGATGCTAACAATAAAGGAGTTATTCCACGAATTTGTGATGTATAAAAGTTAATTTTTTTATTATTTACTTAACTTTATTTTTAAACTTAAACTTATTTGAAAAATAAAGACAATATTAAATTCTTATATTTTATATGTTATTAGCCATGTCTACATTCTACATAAAAAATTTGTTATATTGTTAATTTGTTATTTGTGTATTTTAACAGTTTTTAACAATTTTTTAACACATTTTTAACAATTTTTATTATTCTACTTAAAAACATTTAACAATTGTTTTTATTTTTTTGTATTTTAAGGCATTTATTGTATTTTAGTATTATTATTAGAAGTTTCTTATGTTATTTTGCATTTTCATTTATTTTTTTCGTTGTTTTTTTGTGTGCAAAGTACAGTGGTGTAGGACCATCCCATTAGTACAAAAATAAATTTTGTTTTATATTCAAAACTAGCTCCAAAAATTTACAAATGTTCTTCATTTTATTAAATATTTTTAGAAAATATTATTATAAAATCAATACAAAATATTTTAGCTTTAAAAATGTTAACAAGCTAGTAAATAAAAATTTACTCGCTTGTTAACATTTTTTAAATAAAAGTTTAAAAATAAAACATTGAATTCATTAAACCAAGAAAATATTTGCCGAGTTGGCTCACCTTGAAACTTTTTCTTTTTTAAAAAATGATATGTATTGAAAAGTTCTGAAAATGTATTGTTTGCAATTTGAACTATAGCTAGTAATGTATTTAAACTAAAATTCTGCTCCCCCTCAATCACAATTTTTTTATAATGTTATTTTTTCTAGTTTCAATCATGAAAATTAATATGTTAATGAATTTACCAAGTTTTAATATGAAGAATTAAGTTATTTTTGATTACTTGTTTAAAGGAAAATTTGAGAATAAATATATAAGTTTAATTAGAGAGGAAGCAAAAACTGAAGTTTGTTTATTGATTTTTTAATGACATCCCAAGCTCAATCAGACAAAGTCAAATAAAAAAATCAAATAAAAGTCAAATAAAAAAATATGAAAGACCATAAAAATTGGAATAAAATAAAAAGAAAATAATGACAGAAAAATAAGTCATTATGAGAAATGATTAAATATAAAATCTATTGTAAATTTTTTTTTTCTTTTTTTTTTTTTTAATTATTCACCTCCCCAAGGCCCGAGGGGACCACTACAGTCGAGGAGGCTACTCATTTTTTTTATTTTTTTTATTTTTTTATATTTCATTTATTTATTTTTTTTTTTGTTGTAAATCGTGGTAAAACCCTCTCTCAACTCTTTAACTCCGAAACACGAACCTTGACAAGCAAGGCCGCTGCGTGGAGAAAATAAGTTGAGCGCGGTACTTCCAGGGACATGGTGGGAGTCGAACTCCGAACCTCTCGCTTACAAAGTGAGCGCTCTTACCACTACACCACTACCACATGAAATAAACCAGCAAGATAGGATAAAAAGTTTGCAATGAGGTACACAATCAAATTATCTCAATAAGGTATAAAAAAAGAAGATGGTTAGAAATTACTAGAAAAGTGACAATCTGCTTCATGCTCTTATTCTTAATCTTATTAAAGAAGGACGATTAAAAGATGCCCAAGTTTTAAAACATTTGATGGAAAGTAAAATTAATGAACCCTGCAATATATCATGCTCCAAAATCTACTCACCTAAACAAGCTACAAAATCTCCTTACCAGAAGCTTTAATTTTAGACTTTAAAATGAGTAGGGCAGACTATCAAAATTTTTATCAAGAGATCTTAGATAATGGTTTCTTATTATACCACTACCTAAAAATGATTGCATTCCAAATTCTGGAATTGTCATATCAAACATCAAGTTAAGTACAAGTCAGAATGTTCTCTGATTGACGGCAAAGTTTCCACTTATTTTTTGTGGATTAAATCCCCCCCAAAAAATTAAAAAATTTTGATGGTTATTTATAGCAGACAACTGGAGTTGTTTTTAGACATGGAATTTTTTTAAACAAACACAGCTATATATATATATATATATATATATATATATATATATATATATATATATATATATATATATATATATATATATATATATATATATATATATATATATATATATATATATATATATATATATATATATATATATATATATATATATATATATATTATATCAGCCCTCGGAATTAGGGTTGGCATTCGGCAATGTCGTCCTGACTGCCAACCTAAAAGTGTTTGAGGTTGGTAAAAAATTGCCGAGCTGGTTTCTATGTTTAATGGTTTAGCTTGTATAAATTTTATTTGCTGACCTGCTGCCGATCTCTAAAAGATTGACCAATTTTCCTTATTCCGAGGGTTGATATCTATATATACATATATATATATATATATAAACATATATATATATATATTCCGTGTAAAAATGGAAACTAATAGTTTCACTTACTCATTGAAAAACATATCTATACTAGATGAAAAAAGTTATAAAAAAAGTTACAAAATATACTCCACCTTATATACCTGATTTGGAAAATTTTGAAATGAAAAAACAACCAAAAATTGTAATTGTAAACAAAAAAAACAATTGTCCAATGAGTAGAAAATGTTTATCAAAAAGCGTGATATATAAATGTGTTGTTTTCTCTATGAATGTACCTGATAAACAATATATTGGCTTAACAGAGGGTGAATGTAAAAAATGTTTTGCCAACCATAAGTAATCCTTGAAAAATAAGTATTAAAAGACACCATTCTGCCAAAATACATTTGGAAGTTAAAATAAAAAAATATTGATGATTTTATATTGAATTAGTTCATCTTTAAAATAGCACTTGAATATTATATATATATTTATGACTTACTGTAATTTAAATTTCTGATGAGTCTTATGTGATGAAATACTGTTAAATGAAAAAAGTTTGATAAGTGATTTTCTACTAATTTACACACACACACACACACACACACACACACACACACACACACACACACACACACACACACACACACACACACAAAAACACATACAAACATACACACACACACACACACACACACACACATATATATATATTCAGTTTCATATGAATTTATTATATACATTTTTTATATAAATCTTACTTTCACATCAAATCAGAAGGTGTGTATTAATCTATTTATAAAGGTTGTGTTGCAACAGTGTTGCAAAAGATGTTTGATGTAAAATATATCATTCTAATCACAATAAATAAATTTATTTTGATGAAAGTTGTATTCAATCTGAATTGCCAAAAAGTCAAAGCAATAATAAATAAAAATTAACTCAAATATAAAGTGTTTATACATCTTTTATTTTAGGATTTGTTTGCAAATTTAAATGACGATAAAACGACATTTAGAGTTGAAATAAGGTAACAAGACATTAGTTTTTATTGATATTTTTGTCTCAATCAAAATGTGATTGTTTATATTGCTTAAAAGATTTTTAAAGGGATCCCTAAGTGCTATAAAGATATGATCTCATATGAAAGAGCATAAAAAAAAAATGTTTGATGTATATTATTTTTTCTAAAACGTAATAATGAACACACACTAACAAATTTAATTTTCAAAAAAATGCTTTTTCTTCCATTAAAAAAAATGCGTCTTGTTTAAAGTTTTTTGACTCTATTACCTCAAAACACTAACGTTTGTACGTCAAATTAAACAAAGTAGACAAAATGTCATTATTGCAAACTTATTAGTTGGTAATTAAATTTAAAAGTAAAGTCGTTTTTTTTCAACTAACACATAATTACTTACAAGAATAAGTTTTGTAGCATTTTGTGAAAATATATTTGTATATTAAAATTTTTTTTATAATTTTGATTTATATATTTGTGTTATAAGGGCAATTCCACGGCTAAAAATGAATAGAAGTCAAATTTTAAACTCTTTTTAGTCAGTTAAAAACAAATGAATATTGACTTAGACACATGAAAGTTTATTTAAAATATTTCCTTAGTAGAAAAATAAATTTGTTTCATTAATTTTTATGGTTTCAAAAGTGACGGTTACTCTCATTTTTGCTTGATAAAAAAAATAATTATTGTAAAATGTTTTAGTTAAATTAACATTTATGTTAAATTGCTATACTTTTTTGGTTCAAATTGATAAGGTTGAATAGGCATTTTATTAGAACTTAAACTAAGACAGGGCTTGAATTAACGCAAAAAAATCTAATTCCGAAAAATTTTTTTTTTTGCTCTCCCCCCCCCCTCTCTCTCTCTCTCTTACAGCTCGCGCCGATGTGTGGTAATGGGGGGAAAAAATTATCGTCAATAAATCAAAAAACATAGTCAAAAACTTGATAAAAAATTAGATACCACGTTTTTTACAATTTATTGTTTCTTGAATAAAGGACTAATAAAAGTTTTTCATTTAAATGGTTGATGTTTTTATTCAATTTTTCTATTTCAAGTTTTCCAATAAAAGATGAAACAAAAAAATTTGGTTTAATAAATCGAATTATACTTCATGTTTAAAATAAGGCTTAAAAATGTTAAAGTAAAAAAATTGCTGGTTTTTATTAGCATTTTTATGTTTGAAAAAAAAAACTAATAAAAAAGAATTAACTAATAATATATTAATTAATAATTATTAGAATTAATAATAATAACAATTAATTCTTTTTTATTAGTTTTTTTCTCAAACAGTATAAAAATGCAAATAAAAGTCAGTAATTTTTTTGCTCTAACGTTTTTAAGCCTTATTTTAAACATGAAGTTTTGATAAACAAAGATAAAGACCAACTTTTCAACTTTTCCCTTTAACTACCTTGTAAAAATTTTCCACGCAGAGATTTAAAGTAATTTAAATTCAAAAATGTTTTACGTTGAAAGAAAATCTCCGCGCGAAATAGCAAATCATCTATTCATCTATCTTTATGATAAAAACATTACTTTTAAGAATTGCTAAAAAAAATGCTAAGCTAGAAAAAAAGTAATTAATCAACCAAAAAAAAAACAAGTTGCGAAAAAAATTTTTTTTAAGAAAAAACTAATCACAAAAGTGTGTAGCAATCGCGTTCGCGATACGCCTAATATTTTTATAAGTTCTAAACTATTTAAAACTATTACTTAATAATTTTTTTTTAATGACGTCTTTCAACCGAATGCTGTTATACTGTTTTTGCAAAACTAATTAAAAAAACTTGAGTAAAACTTAACTATTTAATCACGACTTTTTTTTACTTGAAAATCGAAGTAAATATTCTAAAGTTGTTGTGACGTACTAACGTGATTTTTAACGACTAACAATCGAGTTTCAATGGTGAAAAAATAAAATCAAAATAGAGTTGTTTTTTAGTGATTTCGGCAATTGCTTTTTGTTAGCATGCATTTATTATTACAATTTAGTGAAAAAGAAAAAAAACTTATTTTTTTTTTAATGCTCTTTCATTTTCATTTACCCTTTAAGCATATATATAATCACTATATTTCAAAGCAATCACTATATTTCAAAGCAATCACTATATTTCAAGAAATATATCTTGAAATGTTTTGTAAGTTTTGTGAGAAAATACAATACTCTTTATTCTTCACACTCTTAACTCTTTAATTTGTCAGGAAACTTGTTGAGCAAGGTGAATGCGCAGAGAAACAAGTTAAGCAGATATTGCCAGGGGTGTCTTAGGGATTGAACTTCTCACCTACATTTTCTTGAACTCTGAACTTCTCGTTTGCATCAAAAAAATGTCAAAAAAATTTGTTTCCTATGATATAAAAATAATTTACAAATATTCCACATAAAGAAACTAAAAATATAGCTACGAAGTTGCTTTTTAAAAACAAAACTGGTTCAAAATATTTTTCTAAAAATTATTTCAAAAAATTAATTCACATATTAATATTTGGTTATAATTTCTTATTTAATGAAAAATATTATAATCAGTTAGATGGAGTTGCAATATTTTCTCCTTTAGCACCTATAGGTTAAAAACTGCTCATCTTCTATACCATTTTTTTATAAATTTTATGTTGATGACATTACTTTTTTTATTCAGAGTTTAAAGCTCAGAAGTTATTTAAACTTCTATAAACAAAAATCTTAAATTTTATTATTTATAAATGCTAAATAAAAACTTATAATTTACTATGGATAAAGAACAAAATAATCATCAATCAACTAATCAATCACATTTTATAGATGTTTTTTTATTAAAAAATTCTACTTCACTCTCTAAATCAGTTTGTTACAAAAAACTATATACAGGCCTTTTTTGTTCCCTCTTGTTATAAAAATTATAGGTTTTACTCAAATTTCACTAAAACTAAAATTCAATAAGTTCTTTGTAAAGATGAAATAATTAAATTTATATTCACAACTAATAAATTTAAAACAGTTTTTGTATAAAAAGTCCACTTATTAGGCTGCTCAAATTTAATGTTATCTACAAATTTGTGGTGGCTGTAGAGCTATTTATATTGGAGAAACCTCCAGGCGTTTGACAACAAAGAATGATAACAAAGATTAAATGAAAAAATAAAGATAAAACTTTACAAGTTACTATCTTATGCTTAAGATCATTTAAATTCATCGGCTAATTGTAAAAATCTAACTAATACGATTGTTTCAAGATTTTGGAAACTGCTGCTACTAAAAACAAATAAAAAAATAAAAAAAAGCACTTTATTAAATGGGAAAATCCTTACTTTAAATAATCAATCATCTCATTATATTACAAATTATCAATTATCTAGTTTTTATTGTGTCATAATTAGTAATAAATGTCAACTAAATATTTTGAAAATTACTATTTATATATATATATATATATATATATATATATATATATATATATATATATATATATATATATATATATATATATATATATATATATATATATATATTAAAAATAGTAATCTATTCATTTAGTTGGTTTGAAGTTGTAACTAATTATAAATTGAAAATGAATAGCATCAAATGTGATGTTTTAATTCATTATACTATTTTTTTAATATTAATACCTCTTGTTTTTAAGTTACATGGAAATTTATAATGAGCAAGTGCGTGATTTGCTTGAACGCAATGTAAAGAAATCCTCTCCAAAATCTCTAAAATTAAGAGAACACCCTAGAGATGGACCATTTGTCCAAGGTAAACACCTTTTCTTAAAAATGTTAGTTAACATAATATTTTATTGTACATTTTTTATTGTTGTTGTTGTTATTATTTTTGTTGTTGTTGTTATTATTATTATTTTTGTTGTTGCTGTTTTTATTGTTGTTGTTGTTGTTGTTATTGTTTGTTGTTGTTGTTGTTGTTATTGTTTGTTGTTGTTGTTGTTTTTGTTATTGTTTGTTGTTGTTGTTGTTGTTGTTGTTTTTGTTGTTGTTGCTGTTACTGTTGTTGTGGTGGTTGTAATAAATGGTTGTATACATATATATGATAAAAACATTCATTTTTATTTAAGCTTTAGTTCAATTTTTTTAATTAATAAACTAAATGATGATAATAATAAAAAAATGTTTTACTAAAATCTGTTACATCATAGATCAAATCATCATAAGATCTCTTATATCAAGCATCATCATAAGGATCTTTTATATCAGGGATTGTTCAAATCATCACAATTTCATAATAAATTGTCAACACTGCCCAATTTTTGGTTTTTATGAAAGATTTTATTTTACAGGATTGACAGTGCATCCTGTCACAGATTATGCATCTATTGAGAGTTTATTGGAAGAAGGAAATAATGTTAGGTAAGCATAGTAAACAAAATAAATTTTAACAAATAATTCTAGTGCATGTCAAATAAAGTTTATTGTAATTCACTATTAAAGATTTTGAAGTCTTTAAAATTTCAACCTCAAAATATAGTGATTTTGATGAAATAGTTATGAATTTTGTGCAAAAATAAAAAAATTAAAAATTTGGGCTACTAATATAATTTATCTACTACAAGTTGTTGTTTTATATGTAAAAGAAATTTCATTGATTTTCAGGAAAGAATATAGTAAAAGGAATTTTATGTATGTATATATATTATATCATATTATTGTACAAACTGCTTAAATTGAAAAAGGTTGATTCAGTCGAATGTTTTTCCTAAGTTTTCTTTCCAGAAATCTATTTGTGTTTTATAATCAAGCAACCTTCTAAATAGCTTTAAAAATTTTGTTTGATAAAACTTTTTTTATTATTAGTAAAGCTTTTGTTATGTCTTTTTTATTTTTGTTAGATTCTATTGCTGATTTGTTTATGAAATTTAACTGTGCAATATATGGGTGTGATGAGTTTTGTCAAATCTGGTATCCCATGTTTGAGAAAGTTTTAATGATTGTTGAGTTTTTTACATCTAAACTCACTTTGAATTTCTTACTTGATGGATAATACTTTTCTTTTAATATGTTATGGGTAACCCAAGGTTTATCCTATATTTTACATTATATTTTTTTACGAACAACAGCAGTACCTCTAAAATAAAATAAAAAACAACTAATCTTTATCTAGTAGATCAATTTGAATACATACGATACATCATACATACGTTACTTGAATTTTATCAGTCCAGATAAAATTCAAGTATCGTATGATTTGTATATATCAATACTATTTGATAAAGCTATACCTGTGATAATTTGTTATCTTAACAATGACATAGGTTTGTATACATCAATACTAACTGATAAAGCTATACCTGTGATAATTTATTATCTTAACAATGACATAACGGATCTTAAAACAAGAACCAAATTAACATTTACTGACATCCACCAATTAATAGAATTATGTCTTGGTAAAAATTTTTTGTAAAAAATAAAATTAGAACGATACTTAACTCAGGTCCAAATGGATTATTACTAATGGTTGTTATTGCCGAGACATTTTTACAAAAATGTAACAAGAGCTCTACATATTGCGAAAATCAACAATTTTTCACCAAAATCTTATAGAAGGTATGTTGGTAATAGCCATGCCAGATTTGAATCAGTTGAAAAGCATAACAAATTTCTTTTTTTATTAAATTAACAAGATCCAATATTCAGTACATGTCAGGGGTTGAAAATAATCAGAAATAACTAAATTTTTTAGGTATAAAAATAACAAACACAAATAATTATCATTATGATTTCAAAGTCTACCGTAAAGAAGCAATAGTAAACATACAAATAAAACCAGACTATTACTGGAGTTTTCAAAGGTTTTATATTACTTTATTACTGGAGTTTTTAAAGGTTTAATATCACGAGCCACCAAGATCTGCTCTGAAAAATACATTAACAACAAGATTCAGTTTATAATAGATATGTTTGTTAAAAACGGTCATGAGAGATCAAATCTAGAAACGATTGCCGCGAATTACCTTTCAAGTAAAAACAATCCCAAAATTAAAGTTGCAAAAAAAACTAGAAAATGTTGCAATAATAAAGTTACATTGGCTACCAACACTTGGACCGAAACTACGAAAAGCACTTAAAACATATAGTGTCAAAGTTATTTTTACAACACCACCTAATTTAAAAACAATTCTTTGTAACAACAAATCTAGTTTAATGTCAAACAGCAACCCTGGGGTGTACAAGCCTATGTGTTTATGTGGGGGAATTTATATTGGGGAAACAAAAAAGAGAATTTTGCAAAGAAGCATAGAACACCAAATTAATAGCATGAATGGTAATTGACATGCTTCTGGAGCTCTGAGCATTGCAAAGAATGCCATGGGATATTCGACTGGCTGCACCCAAAAACTTTGTCTAAAAATAACAATTATCATGAAAGGAAAATAAGGGAATCGCTTGAAATTAACTATGCGCAAACATCTCAGGAGGTTAAACAATTCCCAGTATTGCTTAACAGGGATAACAGGGTAAAAGTTGCTTTAAATAGTTGGAGACCACTATTTAAGAAAATTGTAAAAAAACAGTTTTTATTGACGTCGTCTTTGTAATGGCTTCTTTATGATTTTTAAATTTTATATTATAACGGTTTTTAATATTGTATTTTATGTCTGATGATGGTCTATACAAATTAGACCAAAATATCACAAAAAAGAAAAATTAGTTAGTATGATGCTGTTTTGATGTTTTACAACTTATTTTAACTTTACGTACTACAAGAAATGTTGCTAAAACAGTTAATTTGAATACAATATTTTATAATTTATCCTAAAGAATAAATTTTTTTAAAAATTAACTTCACCTCCTTAGAGCTCCAGAGGGGCACACTACAGTTTAGGAGGCTACTAATTTTTTCTTAAAGAATAATTATCCAATATCTAAATTAAAAGTTTTGTCTGCAACAAAAATACTTCATTTAAAATAAGTGTTAAGAAGTAATTGTTAAAATTAATTTCAGAAAATGATATATAATGATTTGTAACACATCCATGTTTATAAAAATGATAAAAATAATGTTAAATTTAAATAGTAACAACTAAAAATATTTTTCATGTTAGTAAATTATAAGGAAGTAAACTTTGACATGGATCCTAATTATTCCTTTTAGCTGCTTTTTATCTCCAATATTTCATTAAAATCCTTTTGATCTTTAATGTTTAAAAAAAATTACTTTTATCTTCAATATTTTGTGTAAATAAAAGCTCATTTGTTTTTTGTTAGTAACTATGGCCACATTGCTATAATCTTATCCTAATAAATGACAAATTTTTTACCAAGTCCTCTACTTTAAGTTTTTTTGGATTATTATCACTACTGAGCTTTCACAAAAACCATCTGTACAATTAATTGTGGTGTTATATTCTGCTATGGTTGCTATGGTTTCCTCTCATTATTTTGTTTGCTATTTTTTTACTCCTAATTTTATTTACTACCTCCGTAAATCTCTTATTATTTTTTTTATGGTATGCTATTGTCAACTTTTCAAGTCTTCTGTCAACTGTTTTCTTGCTCTTTAACATAATTCTTTGTTTTCTAATAATTCTCAACTTAATAGTGATTGCATACAGCCATGTTGGGGTTGAATGAATTAAAAAAAAATATTTTAAGCTGGTTATTTTAATGAGGAACTTAGTCTTTTAGACAACGTCCCAAAAACGCATTGTAAATGTTGTTGGATTTGATTATTCAGTTAATTTGCATCATGTTACTGTAACTATCTTTCATGCTCAAAAACCTTTTATTTATCAATTTTTTTATCCTAAACATTGGTGCTTTGAAATTCTCTTCCATTTTAATGTTACTCTACAGTTTTTTTTCTGTCCTTACTTCACTGTTTTTTTTTTTTGTTAAACTTAATTTGTGGTTGTTTTTAGTCTTGTTGGGAGTGAAGTTGTTGAAAATAAAAAATCTATATATATCTATACAAAAATTATATTTACTCTTTTTTCATAAATAGCATTGTATATAAATCTCAGTAATTGTAAAATCCTTTCTTGAGTTAATGCAAAAGTTTTATATTAAATTTTTCTTTTACCTTTTCTTGTGTAGCTTAAGGTGTATAAATTATTAAATTTTCTATGACGGAGGAGAGCTAAAGAGGCAAATTATAAGAGGCTGCATCTCCCCATAATTTGCTGCTAAGTTATATATTTTTATATTATTTAAACGTTTTTAAACCCTTTTATTTAAAATCATTTGTATCACTTTCTTCTTATTTATACCTTTTTTTTGTCTATTCTCTATTACTTGGAAAGTTTTTAATAAAGTAATTAATGCTCATATTTATATGTATGTTATAATATTATTATGTACTTTATGGATTTATTATGTAGTTTTGAAATTTCTGTGTGATTAATGGGTTTTCTAGATTACGGATTTTCAATGCATTGCTCAAAATAACGGCTGATCAATGATCAATGATCGGCTATTATTAGGTAAATTTGGAAAAGTTCAAGGGAAAATAACCTGTTTTTGTGAAAAAATTACATTTGATCAGCAAGCTTTGAAAAACTATTTCGAGTGCTGCAATGTAGTTTATGAGTTTACTATTTTTTATTTTTCTTATAGCTTTCATTGTTAGCTCTGTTACAAAACTGATTAAATATTAAAATCTGACATATTTACTGTTATAATGCAGTTTTATTTTTCTAGCTTTTGTAATTTTTATAAACAAGTTAAACAGTAAACATAGATTTTAAACAGTATCATAGATTTCAATTGTTTTATTTAAATTTGATTTTTTTTAATTATTTACAAAATCAATATCACTTTTTTAGATTTTTTAAAACCTTTAACAAATCTTTTCTATATAATTCTATGATTAGATTATATCAACTAGATTTCTATCCAAGGTTTATGAAATTCTCAGCTTGCTTATACAAAAGTAGTTAAAGCCTGTTTTTAATTTTCTTTACATTTTTGTTTCTAATCTTTTTATTTGTAAACAAGTAAATATCAAGACTATTTGCAATAGTTTATAAATTTTTTACTAAAAGTGATAAAAAGCATATTTACATGACAAAACTATAAATTTTTTGAAAGCGAAAAAAATATTCATTTTTTTAATGATCTTTATATATTTATATTCAAATCTCAATAATAGGAGACACAAATATCAGGTGATTTCATGAAAAAAAAAGTAGCAGAAGGGCGTTCTTCAAGAAAATAGATGCAAATAGAAGTCCCAAAAAACTTTAATATATTTTTACAAATTTGTTTTTCTTGTTGCTATATAAACTTTTTTTTTGTACTTCATTGTAACATGTATATCACGATAGGATCTGTAAGTTTAAGGTTCAACTCTTGTAAAAGTATATTTCAACTTTTTAATTTATAGCTGTTTTTATTTTATCTTATTTTAGACATTTTTCATTTTGAAATGCATGTAAAGAAACAATTTGAAATTTATTTTCTTCAGTATCTTCAGCCTTCTTATCCAGATTAAATTGATCCTGAAAATAAGTATAGCTCGCCCAACTATATTTTGGGATTGTAATTTTAAATTAGTTTCAACCAAAAATTAAAGTTTAAATTATTTTCAGTATTTTATCAGTTCTTAGGATTGAATAACATTTGTTTGTTATACAGGTTTTTGAAAAAAATGTCAAAGCAACTTTCAACTTATTTCTATATTATTTCCTTTAAAATTTATTTACTATGACCAATATGGCACCCAGGCTTGAAGTTATTCTCTAAAACATCAAATTAATTCCTTTTGATTTATAAGTTTGCTCATCTGATCCTTTATTTTCGATTTAATACTAGGGGGCTGTTAACAACTCATTTCAGTTCCAAAGATTTAATAGTTGTATTCCCTCTAGCTAAGAAGCTACAACTGATAAATAACATTTATAACTGTATTTTTTTATTTTAGGGCGACAGCAGCAACTAACATGAACAATGTTAGCAGTCGATCACATGCTATTTTCACTATTAAATTATCACAGGTATTTTTTATGTTAACTTTTTTTTTTTTTAATAAAAAAGTCTTTTGAATGCTTTTGCCTAATGTTATGATCTATTGCTCATCATCATCATTACATCATCATCATTGTCATTATCATCATCATCATCATCATCATCATCATCATCATCATCATCATCATCATCATCATCATCATCATCATCATCATCATCCTCGTCATCATCATTTTTAATACAGATCTCTTATTAATACCAACACCCACATCATCTGTTTTGCACTCTTTCCATTTTTTCCTATATCTGCTTCTACTTAAAAAAAAAAAATTGGTGATACCTAATCATATCTTTACTTTCTACTTTTATGAAATACTTTTATTTTTTGGTGAATTCTATGGGGTTTACCAACCTTTACCTAAGTTTACAACTTTAATTTTTAAACTTTGTAGCTGATGCTGCATATCATCAATTTATGTTTTACTGCTATACATTAGAACGCAGTAGATGTATTTTGATTATCCAACTAAGGCTAGGGGCTAGTGTTAGAATTAAAAATAAACTAAATTTAGTCTGTATTGATCAACTAATCAGTAAAAATAAGCTTTATGTTTCATTTTTTAAATTCAAATTTTAAAGCACTTAAGAATCAAAATTTTAAATCTTTTTATATTTAGAGAATTCTTGTTTTTCTTCTTTAAATAAAATAATTTTTTTAATGATTTTTTTATGTTTCAGGCAAAACTGAATGACAACATCCCAAGTGAAATAACTAGCAAAGTAAATCTTGTTGACTTGGCTGGAAGGTAACTTTTATTAAAAATTTTTTATCTAATAAAAAAATATTATATTTAGCGGTAGATCTATAAAACTACTATTTGTGTATTAATATTTATTTAATCTATTTTTTGTTTACTTTACAATTTGTGTATAATATATATTTTGTATTTAATTAATTATTTGTGAATTATCATTGGTTTTAAATTAGTTCAATTTTTCTGCTTTTATTTTTAAATTAGTTAAATTTTTCATACTTTATTAATTCTAAAATTTATTTTAAAAATTTCAGGATTAAAAATTATTAATCCCAGAATTGATCCCAGAATTCTAATTAGATATATCGGTTAGGCTCAGTGTTTTCTGGCGTTATATATTCAGCAACAACTTGATAAATACTTAACAAATTAATTCCAAATTTTTTTATAATGATATTCTATATACATATATTTAATTGTATTGGTGTTTTACTAATACTATCAGTTTATCAGTCCAAAATGTGTAAACAATTGAATAATCGGAAAAAGGTTTTGGAAATTTTTCTTCAAAATCTAACTTACTCACATTCAAAAATTGCAAAATTGTCAAAACTAAATCTTCTGTAGGAGACATATTGAGGTGATACAAGAAGACTGAAACTATCATGAAAAAAAAAGAGACGATGGAATAATAAATGATTTTGTTAACAAAAACAAAGTTAATTTGATTATCTGGTCAATTACAAGAAATCCATGTCAATACCAAAGAGATCTTGCCAAAAAGTTCAAATGTAGTCGTTTTCTTCGTCAGAAAAGCACTCAAGAGCAAGGGTTTCATTGTCTGAACAGTTATGAACTGTTACACTGAATAGCCTAGTGGAAAAAAGTGCTTGCGCAGCCTCGACACCTTTCATTGTTAGAAATGAATAAGCCCAATCTAAATAATCAGCACAAGTGACACCATTTTCTAATAATGTCATTTCTTTTTGTATTTTTGATAACAACATCTCATATCTAACTGTTTGCATTGGTGATTATCCTTCTTTACTTAAATGATCAAGTTCCTTTTCAATAATTAAAAAATTACTTACGGACCCAAGTACCATTTTAGGTTCCTTAGTCAAATCCAGACTCAACTGATGCTTGCACTTGAGCAGAAATCACATTAAATGAAATCCTACCAGATGCCGTGGGTGGATGCAGATAGGTGGGCAAGTGTAGCATAAAATGTTTATCTTCCTTTGCATAAATTGAAAAACTGTTTATTCAGGTTTTATTTTTTTGTGGTATATCTGATGTGTTTTCTCCAGTAATATTAGGTTGAACTGCACTTTTGGCTTTTGCATTATGTATCAAAAACATGTGTATATAAAGACTTTTTGTTGAACCATCACCAATTGTTTTATCAAGTGGTTTTGATAAAACACTTTTACAAAAAGTTATGAGGAAAGAATTCTGGTTTTACATTTTTACAAAAAGTTATTAGCATAGTATTTTTTGCATGATATCTTAATATGTTATAAACTTGTAGTTTCTTGGAAACACGACTGATTTGAATTAAGGTAATGACAGATCAAGCTGTATGTAAAAACTTTAAGAAAAATTTTAAGATATTTTTAAGTTTTTATAAGGACTTAATAATAATAGTTCTATTTTAACGGAACAAGGTTGGAAACATGATGAAGGAATGGATGATGTTGAAAAACTTAAGCCAAAGAAACAGCCCTATTAAAGAGAGAAAAAAAAAGAATTTTATAGAAAATATAAAAAAGTTTTATGAGTTTAAGTTACCACAAAATATGATTGAAAAAAATGCGTTGAGAAACCCTAGTGATAAAAAAAGACATCACTTTCTTTGGAGGCTAATAATCGGAAAAAAAAGAAGACTTTAAGGTTTACTCATCTTCAAGAGAATATAAATTTAACTGTATTTATAGGAAATTAGACAAGGCATCTGAAAATGGTTTCTTTGCTTAAATAGGTTTGGTTTGTTTGGTTGTTCTTTGTACAGAGCAGTAGAGATTGCTATAGTTTATAGGAGGAAATCGAGGAGCACATATAAATGTTAATAATCATGCAATGCTCTTATAATAATTCATTTTTTTATGAAAAACATTTTGTCAAAAATTTGACGGAAGGAAAACATTTTTCAAGGAATAGGTTAGCTATTCTTAAAAGAATTGAAGGAGATTTTCAGCAAGATTTTAACAAACATGAAAAAAAGATGCTATAGAAAAACTCATATCTAGCTTCAAAATTGAGAATAAAGTTCAGTATCTTCATTTTGATATCAAAAATACCTACCTACCCAGGTAAATTAAATGAAACTTTTTGCAAATTTTCTGCAATTACAAAGCCTTATGTTGTTAACTGCATGTTGACATCATATATTTGAGAGTCAATGGTCTGGATCCTTGATATATAGGTATGAAAAGATGTATCTAGATATATTAGCTCCTACTGACTCCTGGATATATAAACAATGGATGGGTCCTATTTAACTTCTCAAATACACAGCACAGATTTATGTGTCTAATTAAAGCTTTAAAGCTACTTTACTCAAATTTAATTTTGCCTCACTAATTTCAGAAAAAAGCGAAATTAAATTTTTGATTTCTTTTTTCTTAATTTTAATTTTCTGGTTTTATTCTGATTATAATTTTGGTCACAGTTATTAAGTTTTAAAGTGTTAACTTAAAACTTACTTAAAACTTAAAGTGTACAACTTTTTTGTATAGGGTGGAAAGTTTTAGAAAGATTATTATCAATTGGCTGAACATACTTTAATTGTGCTACCATCCACTGAGAGATTCAAAAATTTACAATCCTGGTGCCATTTATCATACTAATTTAATGGTTAAAGGGTTGCTTATCCTAAAACTGTTTTCACTTATAACAAAATTTCTGAATTCAATGAAGAAAGCAAAGAAATAATTATTAGAATAGCAAAGTTCCATTCCAAAATTCCTTTTTTTATGCTGAATGATTTTTTTGATCTCAGCTAAATTTTTTTTCTTGCCTATCTCAGGTGCACGATTTAAATGTTATATCTCAGGTGCACAGTTTAAATGTTATATCTCAGGTGCATGGTTTAAATGTTATATCTCAGGTGCACGGTTTAAATGTTATATCTCAGGTGCAGGGTTTAAATATTATATCTCAGGTGCACAATCTCAATAATTGTTTTATAGTAAATAATCAATGAAGTTTTACTCTGAGTATTTAAATGATTTTCATCAAGAATTTAAAAACAGACTTCATGAATCCTAATATAGCAAGCAATTGTTCAGAAAAAAATATCAAATTAGTTCAACAATTTAGCAAAGTCTATTCTAAAGAAAAAAAACAAGTTGTGTTTCTTTTTACTCATGTGTACAAGCAAAATAGAGTTGATATATAACAATAAAAGCTGGACTAAGCTTAAGCTATACTCATTAGTTATATCTACTTTTAGATATAGTTTTTAGATATATCTGTATTAGTTATATCTACTTTTAGATATATATATATATATAGTTTGGTTTTTTTAAACAAATGTTTGATATTTTTTATAATTTTTAATGTTTTTATTATTATTCTTAATATTACTTCAAAAAATATTTAAAGGAAATAACTATTAATTTTATGTATTAAAACTAATTGGCATTATGTCCTAGAATATATTTTTTTAAAAATAAATGACAAAATCTTTATTTATATTTATTTATATTTGTCAAAAAAAAAAGTTTGAAATTCAAAGTTTTTTTTCTAATTGATCTTGACTCAATTATAATAAAAAAATGTTGAGAAATTATAAAAATAATTACTTATTATCAACAAAATAATTATAGTTTAATTAGAGTTTAAAATAAATGAGTATAATTTAATAATTTAATTAAATAATTTATTTTAGGTTGATAATAAATAATACTTTTTAATTCTTTTTATATTTGAGATATATACTAAGTTCAAGGTATCTGAAGATATCTATAGATGTCTGAAATTTGCTTTGATATTATCTGAAGATATTATTACTAAAATATCAGCTTTTAATTTTTCATTATTTTATTTTTTTTCAAATTGTGTTAATTTGATTATCTCTAGTGAACGAGTTGGATCATCTGGGTCAACAGGCTCGCGATTCAAAGAAGGAGCTTTTATTAATAAATCACTAGTTATCCTTAGTTTGGTTATATCAGCGCTTGGTTAGTGATTTCTTTATTTTTTTTTACTTTTTTATCACTTTTTTCAATATACGAAATGTTGTATACAAAATATTAGTCAACAAATAAAAATTAAATTTTAAAATAACTTTCTTGTTCATTTTATTTATATGATTCACAAGATGAATTGAAATTTTTTAATTTAGATTTTAATTATTTTTTATTTAAATATATTATTTAGAACTGTTTTGATCAATATTATTGTACATTTTATTAAAGGGGAACTCAGCTGAAAAAAAAAAAAAAAATTAAAAAATTTTATATTAGCAACTATTTGAAATCATTGAATTATAATAAAATAAAAAATTGTAAAATAAAATTATTGAAATATGTTAAAATGAAATAAAAATTATGACTTATTGATATATAAATTGCTGTTTTACTCTTGCTAAAAAGCAACTCTTAGCTTGCTTTTATTTTTTTGTTTTTTCATAAAACACAAAACTTGTTATTCAAGTCAAATAGGTTGAGAGAAGTGATCAAGTCAAATAGGTTGAGAAAAGTGATCAAGTCAAATAGGTTGAGAGAAGTGATCAAGTCAAATAGGTTGCCACTACCACTAGTCCACTACCACCATGAAATAAACTTTCAAAAATGTCTTCAAATTTTTTTTTATAACCAATTAGTTTGTTTCAGTTATTATCTTCTTCTAAAACAACCCCCAAAACACAATTTTTTTTTTACTAAATAAGAAGTAATAAGATAAAAAATTTTTAAATAAATATTTTACTGTTACTCTGGTACACCAATAAAGTTGTCCAAACTAGCACAAAAGGATTTTTTTTATTAGTTGAAGCTAAATGGATTATGAATAATTCTTTTTAATGTTATACATTTCCTGAAAAGCAAGGAGGTCACTACAGTCAAGGAGACTACTTTTTTATTTTTTAAAATATTTTTTTCATTGTGGTTACCTTGATGAACAAGGCTGCTGTGAGGAGGAATAATTTGACAGAACTTAATTTACAGAAGTTAGAAACAAATTAAATTACAAAAGCATTTAAAACCTAAGAGAATTCAAACGTGAATTACTAAGAGAATTCAAGTTATAAAACAAGTGAAGTTGCTAAACAGCACATTTGTCACATATTTTAAAACTAGGAAGAATTCAAGCTAGAATAAACTAGTTACATACGTGATTAACATAATTAGCAGTACAATATGTTAATAACATAACAGTTAAATTAGCTTAATGAAATTATATTGAAAAAAAAAATCTTAATTTTTAAAACAAAGACTAATCAAATATTAACATATCATATATAATATTTATTTGATATTAATTTACACAAAAAAAAAAAACTGTTGAAACAACACCTTTGAAGTATTCATTTAGTATTTAATAATTAGTAGTTTAATAATTGGTATAAACTTTTGAAAACTTGGCAAAGTTTTGCATTTGCCACCATTTAATATTCAAATTTGCAAAATTTTATCTTCTTTTTGCATGGTCGCTTATAACTTTAATTTCAGAGAATATTTTATTCTAATTTTCTTCTTTTTTATATACTTATCTATAATATATTATATATAATAGCTTTATTATACTTATTACTTAAGCAGGATAAAAGTATAATTTTTCATAAAATTAATTTTAAACAAAATAGTTTAAAAAGACTTTTTTTGCTGAGTTTATTTTTAATTATATTAACTTATGATAAATTTTATTATCAAAAGTTATTTTTGATCAAGATTTATTTTAAAATATCAAATTATTTTGGATAAAAATACACAATCACACTGTTTTAAACCACATTAATTATAAACTAAATGAAAATATATTTGAGCCGTAAACTGAGAAAAAATATTAGTCTTTTTAAAATGTCCTCAAGCTATGTTTAATTATGTAATTATTAAATTTGTAATTATTATAATTATGCGAATTATTATAATTATGCGAAAGGTTTGCTTGGCTAGCTAAGAAGAAAAAAAAGTGACAATTAAGTTTGTATGACACCCTAACAAATAGTTTTCCACTAGCTGCTCTCCTGGTTATAAATATGTTAATTGCTCCTTTGATTAAAAGCATAATATTTAGTAATGAAAATCGTTCTACTAATAATATAATGAATTCTTGGCAAAGAAAAAAAAATTATTTATTAATAATCTTGCATTTTATGATTTTGCAATATATCATGTATTTAACTGCTTGAAATATGTGAAGAATTTAACCGCCTCAAATGGGCTCAAAAAAGTTTCGCTTGAAACAAAAAAGCAAATAACAACTTTTCATAATTTAGGTACACTAAAACTTTCTAATCAAGACAAATATAGCATCATTATAAACAGCAGGAAAAATTGTATTCAATTTAAAACTTAAAATTGGAATACAATAATAAGAAAAATGAATATGGTGTCAGCTGAGAAACTATAAGAAAGATATTGAAAAAGTGAGGAATCGGTACTTACATTGCTCAATTTAAGCCAATTTTAAGAGTCACAGACTGTTGCAAGGAGTGTGTCGATAGAGATTAACCTGGTCTTTCAAAGATTGGAGCCGAATTGTTTTCTTCCATGAAATTAATTTTTAATTGTAAATCAAGAGTAGGTTGAAAAGCAAGAAGTATAACAATTGCTTTTTTTTAGAATGTATTGGGCTTAAAATATTTGGGCTTGGATGGATCCTTAAAACCTCAAAACTTGCTTTGTTAAAAAGACAAGTAAAAACACTTAAGGAGGTTCTTGAAAACACTTGGAATTCAATATGTTTTAAAGCCAAAGGTGGCTATTATAAGAACTGAAATTTATTGTTTGTCACTTTTAAACCTGGATTCATCTAAATTTACTTGTTGCTTTTTTTTTTCTTGTGTTTTATTTAGTTAACTTTATATTATTTTTTTAAATTATATGCTAATTTATTTATTTTCACTTTAATTGGCAATTTCAATAAAAAAAACAAAAAAAAGTTAATAATGCCTCTCTTTTAGTTTTTTTTTGTAATAATATATTTTTAATAATAAATTTTAGTATATTTATTTGAATAAATATATATATATATATATATATATATATATATATATATATATATATATATATATATATATATATATATATAAATATACTGTATATAGTAAATACTTAATTTTAATGTTTAGTACTTTCAGCATTTTAAATATTATTTATTTAAACATTACATTGCTTATTTTTTAAGCTGAAAATAGCAGCCCTGTTAAAGTATTTCCACGTCGCCAAGTATTTGTACCCTATCGTGATTCTGTGTTGACATGGCTGTTAAAAGATAGTCTAGGTGGAAATTCACGGACAATTATGATTGCTAGCAAGTTTTTTGTTTTTTTTTTTTACATGTTTTTCATCAATATAATTATAAATAAAATATTATTCATTATAATATAATATTATTCAATCAATATAATATTATTCATTAAGGAATATTTAAGTAAAAATTCAATACAGAAATAATCAGATAAAAAAAGATTTTCTTCCAGTAATTTCCAACTCTAATAATGGTTAATACGGTAGCCTTGTTGGAAGTGAAGATGTTTAAAATATAAGATGTTTAAAAAAACAGCTATAGGGAAGTTTTTTATGAATAGTATTTGTTGCTCAGAAGAAGTATTTGTTGCTTAGTAGAAGCATTTGTTGCTTAGTTGAATTGGTTGTTCAGATGGAGTATTTTCTTCTTGGAAGTATTAATTGTTGCATAGAAGTATTTGTTGTTTAGAACAAGTATATTTAAATAAACAATTATAGTGGCATTGTTTTTTTGATGATTAGTTTTGTAGAATATAAGAAAAAAAAAATGATGTTTTTTGTTTAGCTTTTATTCTATTCTTTTTCTTAGCTGTGTCACCTGCTGATAGTAGTTACAATGAAACATTATCAACGTTAAAATATGCTAGTCAAACAAGAAAAATTATTAATAGACCTGTGATCAATGAGGTTTTTTTTTCACAAATCTTTTTATTTTATATACTATTTTTGTTTTATATACAATATTGTTCTTAATGATGCATTAAAAGCAACATTAAAATTGGTATAGTAACGTTGACAAAAACATTGCTAAAAATGATGTGACAACTGCTTTTCAATAACTTTATTTAACGTGCCTTTTAATGTTTATTAAAAAGCATGTTATTAACTAATTTCAATTTTTAAATCAAGATTTAAATAAATAAATTGTAAATTTGTGTGTATGTATTACATGTTTCAAGACAAAGTTAAAAAATGTAAATACTATATGATTTTTTTTTTTCTAAAAGCTCATGACACCTGTAGTTTGTTCAAGTTGTATTGTTTTACCCAAATGAAGCTATATTTTTGCTTTAATTTTCCTCAAATAAATTCCTGAAGCCATAGTCATTATTTAAACTATAATACTTTGACAGAGGGATAAAAAAATTTGTAAAGATTGTGTTTAATTTAAATCTATGCTGTTTTTATGATATTGACTGTAGTTTTATGTTGTATTAGTAGTATTATAACATACAGTTGTGGTTTAGAGGTTGAGCCTTGGTTGTCAAGATTTGTGTTTTAAATCTGTGGGGTTGAGAGAGGGTTCTAAAAATAAATTAAAAAAGCAAACACAGTAAGTCAAAATCCAAAAAAAAAAAAAAAAAATTCTTTTCTTTCCTAAAAAAAGGTAGGATCTAATATATAAAACATTGTTATAATTTGATTAATTCATGCATACTAATACTACTAGTATGCATGAATTAATATCATTCTCGCTTGATTCTTTTTTTTTTACTGTATCTGTCCCTGCATGCTCTAAAAACCTTTATTTGTCTAGCTTTTTTCCCCATCATCTTTGTGTTTTCCTAATTTATACAACCTTCAAGTTTTTAAGTCTTCTGTCAACCATTTCCTTGCTCTATAACTCTATTCTTTTTTTCTAGTAACTCCTAACCTACTAATGGTTGCTTGCAGCCTTGTTGGGAGTGAATCAGAATTTTTTTTTTTAGAAAAAAGTAGATTTTTGGTAATTTTTGTTTTAATTGGATTCATTAATTTTTTTCCTTCGGGGAATGTGGTGAATGATAAATATATTTTTATTTTGCTCTCGCTCTTATGTCTATTTTATCTGTACTTTTTAAATGCATCATTAAATAGTAAAATAGCAATATTTCAGCATTAAAAATAATTTAAAAAGTAAACTGTAATTAAGTTTTAATTTTAAAAATCGGTTCTATTACTAGTGTATTAAAACCAATTTTTGAAATTGGTTTTAATACTAAAACTAGTGTTTTATGCTGGAATTTTTTTTTGCAGAGATTTGTATAAAAAAAAAGCGACTGGATGACTTGCAATAAATATTACTGTTTTTAAATCATGGTGGAACTATAAAATATTTTTAAAATGGTTGAACTATGTAAAAAGTATAAATGTTAAAAATACTTATAAACCAATCAGTCAATAAACTTACAACAAAAAAACAGTTTATTTGGAAAAGCATCAAGGTAGATGACCTAAGAAACATCAGCATCAAGGTAGATGATCTAAGAAACTACTCTACAAGGTAGATGACCTAAGAAACTATTCTACAGGGTAGATGACCTAAGAAACTACTCTATGTATTGATTGTAAAATAATTAGATATTACAAAAGTTGGACAAAAGAACAGTGGAGAAAATTATATAAGTCAGATGAGTTAAAGATTGGTTTAAATTTTAAAAGAAATATTAGATCACTAATTGGCAAAAAAGTTAGAGTAAAGTTAGAGTTGGTTTTCAGGATTTTCTGGATAGAGACCACTCTTTAGTATTGAAGGAATAAGGGACAAATGCATATAATAAAATACTGGAATATCAAATTTTATCATTTGTTGAAGAAAACAGTTTTTTACAGTGGACATTTCTAAAGATCCCAAACACACATCAAAACTTCTTAAAGCATGGCTCAATACAAATAGTTACTGTATTATCATAATCTGCACAATTTCTTTATCTTAATCCTATCGAGAATTTATGGAAGCAGCTTAAATATAGTACATTTGTGGCAGGTTTTAAAAAACAGAGAAATTGTATTTTTATAAATTTCAACATGTGTTCAATGACTTGAACTTGCACTAATTAAAAAAAAATCTTTTAAATAAAATCAAGTGTAACATTTTTATTTTTCACACATTTTTTACAATACAAAGCACTACAAAGAATATTTGTTAAAACTCAAAATTTTCATGTTTAAAATTAAAGCTAGAAATAGTTAATGAATAATAGTTAGTTGCTTACATCACGAAAATAATTTAGTTCATGTTGTTCAAAAGTTAGGGATTAGTTATAATAAATTATCTGAGGCTCTTTTACTTGAATTTAGTTGATTCAAGGAGATCATGAAAATATTGATGAACCTGGTATGATAAATCTAGAGTAAACTCTATTAATATTTAAATAAAGTTCAAATATAAATTGCTAAAACAAGCACGAACCTTTATTAGTTCGCTAAAAAAAAAATCCTGGTTGTATAAATAAATAACAGGTAAAAGAAAAAAAGATGCAGTAAGTCTAGGAAAAATGAAAATGGCTGGGAAGATCTAAGTGACTAAAACAGAAGATTTAAAAAAGTAAATAAATCAATTGAATTCAAACCAATTTAAACCAATCTCTGATAATTTGATAATGTTCATCTGTTGTTTATTTATAACACAAAATGCAGTTATTTATTTAACTTCATGAAATTAAGAATGAAAGGCTGAAATTCTATCTTAAAGGTGTGGTTGTAACAGAAATATTTGCTTATCTCTTGCAGTTTATGTAGTTCAAAATTATACAGAGTATGTTTAATCATACTCTGGCAAAAATACTTTTACTGAATGCTAAAACTTGCAATATTCGCTGAAGGTCAAAGATATACGCAATATTCGCTGAAGGTCAAAGATATACGCAATATTCGCTGAAGGTCAATTTGCCAAGATTTTTTTTTAAAGATATAAAAAAATATTTACAAAAAGTGCAAGAAATGGTTTTTTGATGGTTGCCTTAAGTCTTCTAGTCAAAGTGTAGTCCTCTAGTCAAACACTAGTTATGAACAAAAAAATGAGCAAAAATACACTTATAAAAATATAGGCCACACTTTAACAAATTTAAGAAAAAAATTATGCTTTAATTTAAAAAGAAAAGCATTTTTTACATAGTTATTGTTCCACTTAAAATAATCAAAAGGAAAAATTTATTCTTAGTATGTGATGTGATGCAAGTATCTATTCTGAAATTTTTTACTCTGAAAGTTGCAAGAGAAGGGAAGAAGTTGCAAGAGAAGGGAATTAGCTAGATTGCATAATATAGTTAAGATATCAAGAAAGAGTGTTACAACAAACCAGTGCTAATTTCTAATCAAAATTGATTCTATAATACTTAACATTAGTTCCAAAAGTTAATCAAATCTGGAACCCAATAAGTTACTTAAAAATGAAGAAGAGTGCTGTCTATCAATGACAGCTTTAATATTTACTAAGATATAATTCAATAGTTTTAAAAATGTCTCAGGTACACCATAAAAATTACAAAGAACTTAAGTATGTCAACTTTATTAAAAGTCTTCAATGTGACAAGAACAAGAAGCCCTTGCCTCACCATTTCCATCTAATGCATGATAGAACCTTAGTGTTTTAACATTTGTTAACTCAGTTTTAGAAAAAGATTCTCAAAGATCTCGCTAATTATAGTAAGATTGGAAGTTAAAAAGTCAGAGCAATCTCTAGAGCTTTTTAATTTTTAACCACATACGCCAATTTTAACCACATACGCCATTTTAACCACATACGCCATTTTTAACCACATACACCATTTTCCAGCAGGCAAGGAAACAAGAATCACTTGTTAAACAGTATAAAGAGTATTTTTAGAGAGTATTGAAGTTAGTTCTAAAAAAGACTTTTATAAGATTATGACATAAATAATTCAAATTTAAATTTTCTGATCAAAAAAATGAAAATATTACTCACATTTAAAATAAAATTTAATTTAAAAAAAAAGAATAATAATACTGAAATTTGCTAATTTTATTTTGCCAAGAAGTTTTACTAAAGATTATACTGATCTGAGGATGTAATAATAATGGTAACTGTATGTAGGAGTGCACAGATATTAACTGTATGTAGGAGTGCATAGATATTACTATTTAATTCTATTTAATTGCAATTGCAATTAAGTTTTCTGAATAAAATTGGTCTCTTGTTGACATTGTAGGCATTACAATGTATGTTAGCTTCAAATTTATATTTAAAGCACATTTTATACACATAACAACCAACAAATGGTCTTAATCTTTAATCTTTGAAAAAAACTAATCCAAAACAAAATCAATAATCATTCTTACAAGTTTATTTGTCCAAAAGTAATTGTAGTATTGTTATTTTTTATGTAACTGATTGTTTATTTTTTAAGTAACTCATTGGTTATTAGGAAGTAAATAGTTTTGTAATATGTCAAAGCAACATTAAAAAATCTTTTACATCAAAATTATTTTTTATTCCACATAGTTTGTAAAAATCTAAACATGAGCAATTTTTTCATTATTTTTTATTGTTATTAACATAATACACAATTCTTTAAACCAAAACTCCAATAAAATGAATAAAAAAATATTTTTATACATTTTCACTTTCAATTTACTTTCAATTCATTATTTCTTTTAGTTTACTTTTAACAGTCAGGTCAGGTTTATCCTGTCAGGTCAGGTTTATCCTGCTACTGGACTGCACCTCAGTCAGGTCAGGTTTATCCTGCTACTGGCAACATGTAACCCAGTACAATCTGCTTCATGTCCTGCTGCCTTGTAGGATATGCCTTTTTAGGCAAAGGCTAGGAGATGCAAACTCCAACATAAAACACCCCCTACCTTGGGGCTCTTGGTTGAGTAAAGGCTAGAGATGGTGTCTCGATAAAAATGCTCATTTTGGGCAGATGTTAAATGCATCCGGCTGATGTCTTGTAGAAGGCCTCCTAGGCAAAGACTTAATGGGTAAACAGATTCTATCTGTTGACCAGCCTCGCACCCCTTCTCCATCTATTAGGCTGACGCAGATGTTTTTTTAATACATTTTTTCCAGTTTAGGATGTTCAACACTGGATCTTCTTGACTCGATGCATGGGTTTTGCTTGTGTCTCTGTTTTTATGACTAGGCAACTCATTCTATTATCTCCAAATGAGGGTACAGCTCTAAAACTCAGTTTTATGGTTCTGAGGCCGGCTGGTAGTCAGGTTTCCCGAACTCTGTGGTAGCTCTCAGAGAGGTTGATTCCATCAACAGCTGAAAAATATCAGAGTACTAACAGTGCCATGTTGCGCATGGATGGTGTCCCTGTTTGTACTTTTGGTGTGCATTGCCAAGGCCACATTGGAGCCCTTTGTTAAGGCTTAGGGTTTATTAGTGGAAATGAGGCAATTGCTTGGGCTATATAACAGTGTACTGAGTACTATCTATGTTTCGAGTCAAGTTCTTTAACAAATTTAAAAATGAATAAAGTAGCAAAAACTATAAATCACAAAAAACCACAGTCATCACCAAGTTTGCTAAACCTCTCATTCACTAATATTCGTGGTCTTCGAAGTAACTTTTCTTCTGTTGAGTCTTATCTCTTGCAAAGTTCATCAGACCTACTTGCTCTTTTTGAGACTACTTTAAGTTCAGCTATCTCATCGTGTGATCTTAGTGTTGATGGTTATGTTCCTATAATTCGTAAAGACTCCAATAGTCACATGCTTAGCCTAGGCATTTACATTTGTAAGAATTCACCCATTTGTCGGGAAACTAGGTTTGAATCCACAGACTACTCTTTTATGTGCTTTCGCTTAGCACCACTTCACTCTATCACCTTTCTCTTTGTTCTATATCGCTCTCATTTATCTCAAGACTCTTCTTTATGTTATTTCTGATTATATTGACCAAGCCCTCATTCTTTATCCATCAGCCAATATTGATGTTGTCGGTGACTTCAATGTTCATCACACTGAATGGCTTGGCTCTAGTGTCAGTGACTCCGCAGGCATTAAGGCTCACAAATTTTGTCTTTCTCAATCCCTAACTCAAATAGTCAACTTTCTAACTCGCTTTCCAGACAACCTGAATCATTTACCTTCTCTACTCGACTTATGTCTTGTTTCTGATCCTAGTCAGTGCTCAGTTTCACCACATTCACCCTTAGGTGCTTCTGATCATGGTTTGGTCTCTCTAAAACTATTATCTCATTCTTCTTTACCATCAGAATCCCCCTATCATTGTACATCTTACAACTACCTTAAAGCTGACTGGGACTCTTTCTGTGATTTTCTTTGCGATGGCCCCTGGGTAGAAATCTTTCGTCTTCCTTTTGACAAATGTGCTTATTACATAACTTCATGGATTCAGGCTGGCATGGAATCTTTTATTCCCTCTCAACAATTGCAAATCGCTCAACAGTGATTTAAGATTCAATCAAATCAGTAATTTATCTTTTAATGACAAATTTTTAATGTCAGTCAAATTCTTTTTTTCTTATATTCAATAACCCAGTTGTTTAGATTGAATTTTATTTTTCCTTGTTCTAAATTTAGTTTTTGATTACAAATATTTTCTCGCATTTTATGAATAACACATGATTGATAGACAATACTTTGTAATGCAATCATAAAGTTATTAAATATTCAAACCTGAGTTTAAATTAAGTTAGATATTACAACTTGGGTTCAAAGTAAGTTATATATTCAAACCTGGTTTCTAAGCAAATTATTAGATATTTAAACCTTGGTTTGAAGTAAGGGTTTTGTATAAAACTCTTACTTCAAACTAAGCTTGTTTTGGGAATGAGATGCTTTAAATTCAATTGTTTTTTCAAAATTTTCAAGTTTTTAACTTTATTTATTTACGTTTTAATGATATTTCACAATAGAGTTTAAAAGGGATATTTCCTAGTTTGGTTTTATAATATATTTCATAGTGTTTAAGAAAGCTTATGTTTTGTATAATGGGAAATATTAATTTCAATTTATATCATTATGCCAGTGCGTAGTTAGTTTAATATGGTTTACTAATAATACTGTTAAATGATTTATTTTTATCTATACATTTTTAAAAGTTTGATATTCTTATTGATTAGGATCCCAATGTAAAGCTTATACGAGAGCTTCGTGCAGAAATTGCTGAACTCCAAAACTTGCTTTCAATTTACAAAATAAATGTGAGTTATATTAGATTTGAGTTTTATCGTTTTTTTATTTGTATTATTTTAGGTAAAAAGTATTTAATTTAAAAAAAAAAAAGATATAAAAGTAGCCAAGACATCATTTATTTTCTGAAAACAATAAAAGAAAAAATAAGTACAAAATGTTATCAACTCTAATTAAAATTATAAAGCATTTATGAAACATATAAAAGTATATATTAAACATAAGCAAATAGAAAAAACGTTTTATGATGATTCAAAATATGAATGTGAAAGGTAGCAAGGATGAGTCTAAAAGGGCGGATCCCTAAATAGTAATGCTTAACACATTTTATCAAGGCTTTTCATTAATAAATGTTTTGATATATTTTTTTTTTTTTTTGCTTTCTTTGATTTTGTTGATATTTGTTGTTTATATTTGTTGGTTTTATTGTTTTGATCTTGTTTTCATATTGCGCCCATCTACAATATATTATATAATAAAAAAAATATATAAATCTAGTCATTAAAGCATTGCTTATGGGTACCATTTTGAACATCTATGGAAATAAATGAGTACCATTCTGAACATCTAAGGAAATAAATGGGTATCATTCTGAACGTCTTTTATATAAGGAAATCAATTTTCCTCATAAAGAAAATGTTTTTTCCATTTTAACTTTGTTTAACATCTCAATAGGTTAATTTAAGTTTTAAAATATTTTCGGTTTATTAATATTTTGTGTGTATTGAGCTAAAAAATTTTTTTAAAGTTGCTTAGTCCTTTGAGTCTTGTATTAAATGTTGTATCATTATTTCTGAAAAGGTATGGAACGGGGTCAATATTAAAGAGTATTAATATAAAATTAACATTATATTATAAGAGAATGTATAAAAATTTTGTTTATGCTTTAATTCATATATAATTAGTAAAACCGTAAATCGATGGTAGACAAAAAAAAAAAAAAAAAAATAGGCAAAATTTATTTTAGTTAGGAGTTACTAGGAAGTAAAAAAAAGAGAAGTGAGCAAGAAAAAAATTGGCAGAAAACATTTAAAACCGTAAATTATGAGTTTTTTTATGAAAACTCAAGTCAAGAAAAATTAAGTCAAGAAAACATCAAAGCATTGGTGTTTCAGAAAGTAGATGAAATAAAGTTTTACATTTGAGAAATATAATTAAAAAAAAACAACAACTTAGATTCATTTAAATTACATTTAGACTAAAATCTGTGCATTAAAAAGTTAACACCAGTTTGCAGTTTTGTTGAAATTGAAAGTTTTATTAAATTTTAGAAAATCAACAATATTGCAATAATTATTATTTTTAATTTTTTGATATTTTTTAAATATTTTGTAGTAAACTACTCTATTAGTAATTTTGTTATATGATAAGTTTTTAATTACGTGTTTTTTTAAGTTCATGAGCCCTTTTTAAAACCACTTAGTCATTAGATAGCTTTTTTCAATATTTTTTATGTTCTAATACATTTTTTTACTATTATTTATCATTTTATTTATTGATTACTATTATTTGCTAGCAAATCAAGTCTTATTGCAGACAATATTTAAAATGTGTTTGCATCAGAAAAATAATATGACTTATGTCTATCTGATTTTTGATTCTTAATTTTTTATGTTTTACAGCAAAATGATAACTGTAAAGATAAAGATATAATGCAGGCCAAACTTAATGAAAATCAGGAGAGAGTGGAAAGTTTGACGAAGAATTGGATTGATAAAAACATGGAAGCACAAAAAGTTTTTAAGGTAAAAAAAATTATGTTGCAATTAATTAAAAGTATTGCTATATTCTTTATAAATTATTGAATTTTTTATATAGGAGAAAAGTATTCAGCTTTCTTGTAAAGGTCAGCAAACTGTACTGTCTACTGTTAAAGTACATCTTATTAACATGGAAGATGACCCTCTTAATACTGACATTGTTATATATCATTTAAATGTAAGATTATAATTTTAGATATGTAAATTAATTTAATACTTCTAATTCTAATGCTTATAATTCTTAATTTATCATTATTTATTCTTAATATTTTTCCATTAAGTTTTATCTAATGGATAATTTACAGATTTGTTACTTTTTTGTAAATGTTTTGACACGTTTTTCTTTAAAATTATTATTTATAAAGTAATAACAATTTCACTTCAATTTTCTAACTTTAAAATCTTTTCAATTTTCTGGATATATTCAATTTCATTTTGAATGTTACTTATTGCTTATAATCAACAGTTTTTATTTACATTTTTATTTATTTATTTTTTGTTATTAAACAGTTTTAATTATTTACATTTTTATAGTTTAGTACTGTTCTGTGCTTTTTAGTTTAGTACTGTTCTGTGTTTTATAGTTTAGTACTGTTCCGTGTTTGATAGTTTAGTACTGTTCTGTGTTTTATAGTTTAGTACTGTTCTGTGTTTGATAGTTTAGTACTGTTCTGTGTTTTATAGTTTAGTACTGTTCTGTGTTTTATAGTTTAGTACTGTTCTGTGTTTTATTGTTTAATACTGTTTTGTGTTTTAAAGTTTAATACTGTTTTGTGTTTTATAGTTTAGTACTGGTAGTGGCCTGTAAAATTTATATCTAAATTAGGACTGTTTAATTAATATGCAGTAGGCCATCTAAGTATGCAAAATCTGTGATATTGTTCTGAACAAGTTTTCCTTTTTTTTTTTTTAATTCTGTTTGATTATAATTTTCTACTTATAAATAATAATAATTATAGTTAATTGTCAACTAATTGTCTTCTTATATAGTTCGGTATTTTTAAAACTTTCATAGATTAGTAGTCATTATTATGTAACATGTAGAAGGCTATTATGATTTTCTTTTTAATTTATTTCAACTATTTTTTGATTTTGTTTTGTTTACAAAATAAAAGTTTTTTACAGGAAGGAGAAACTTTGGTGGGAAACTTTGATATCATTGAAAGTAATTGCATTGGTGAGTATATTTTAGAAAATGGCTATTTATATTGACGTATCCAGAAGTAATTTGGGGATACTGTTTTAAAAAAAAGTTTCTCATACATCCATGAAAAGTTGTATTGATGTAGCAGTACATGAATCCTGCTGACATTTTAAGGGCTTTTTTTAAATGAACACCTCATTCACTCTTAATTTGCGCTAAAAAATATTGACAATGGAGTGTTATATACACTTTTATCTAGTATTTCATTTGATTTCCTTTTTACTTTCCATAAGTACTTGAGTTTTGAGAGCACAAATATTGGCACCCAGTACAGCCTGGATATGTCAATGATATTATTTTAGTGAGATTTAGTTTAATTAATTGTTGAGACTTTTTTCAAAATAATATGTTTTAATTTTTTTTTTTTTGATAATTTTATGAGTTTTATGATAAAGCTAAGATCAATAAACAAAAATAGAAACATGAACAAGAAACTAATATAATCAATCAATCATATATGTTTTGAAAACGAATTTTTACGGATATTTACAAATAGCAATTATTATTATTATGTATTTCGCCATAAATAAAATATTTACAAAATTAGGCTTGAAAAAAAAAAGTATATACACAGCTGGGGCAAGAAGAAAACAAGTTCAGTCTCATCGCCAAGCCCCTTAAAATGAAATACTTAATTCAAGTTAACATGTAATGAAATACTAAACTCAAGTAAACACCTTAAAAAATAAATTTTCTAAATAATATGATATTTTATAGTAATAATGATAATAATATTAATTAAAATAAAACAATAATAATAAAAATAGTAACAATAGCAGTAATAGCAATAATAATAATAATAATTATTATTATTATTGTTATTATTATTATTATTATTATTATTATTATTATTATTATTATTATTATTATTATTATTATTATTATTATTATTATTATTATTATAGCTACAATAAAAGTTATATAGAGATCATAAAAGTTTATTTAAAAAACATAAAAGACAATTGTCAAAACTAAATTATAGAAAAAGTTCAAGTAAAAATTCACCAACATTAATAACAACAAAAAAACTAATAAAAAATAATAATAAAATGATAATAATAAAAAAAAATGTTTCATTACAAAATTGTTATGAATTAAACCTATTACAATAGATCTGATTCAGTAAATATAATCAAAAACATAACAATAAAAAATAATAAACTTTTACTGCTGTTTGTTTTTTATTCGAAATTATTTTTTATTAATGTGAATAGTTTTTTCCTTAATTAAAGTTCTTTTTCTTTTAAATTAGTTTTAACTTCTTGTCTTTGTTGTTTTTTTGTTGTTGCCTTTCAATATTTTTATGAAAAATATTCCCATGTAATAAAATCACTTAATAAAAAATTAAAATAGTAAAAATAATAAACTAATAATAAAAATAATAATACAAAAAAATAATGAAAATTAAAAAAAGAAAGGTAAAAGCTAGATAATCAGATTTTTTTTTTTTTTTTTTTTAATTTTTATTATAATTTTTGTTATATTGCAAATTGACAAATAGTTCTATTTGAAATAAAAATTTCTGAAAAAAAAATTAATGTGGACCTGATGTGTCATTCAATGACAGTCACACTTGATTTAGGAAGTGATGTAAGTGTGAGACATGCGTGGCTATGGTATTTATACCACTTCAGTGGTAGCTATATATGATCCATATGTGGTTATAATATACCACTAAAGTATTATGAATACCATAGCCATACATGGCCCGCACATGTGCTTTCCCTCAATTTAACTGTGGTTATCACATGTAGCAAGCATTATATTTTATTGTTGAGTTTAACTTTTTAATTGAATTTTACTTTGTTAAAAACAGGATTTTAAAAAATTGTCTAAATATTTTGTTAAAATAAAACTAATATTTGCTATCAATAACTAAACAATAAAAATTAAATTTAACAATAAAAAATTTGCTTTTAAAATTGCTTTAATATTTTCTGAAATTTTCTTTTAGCATTTATAATATCGGTTATATTGGAGAAACCTCCAGAAATTATACTTTATAATACTCCAGATAAATACTCCAGAAATTATACTTTATATACTATAAAATATACTTTTAGGGTAACTGTCAAATTGTTTAGTTGTTCTGAGTTTTTTCTGTATCTCGCATATAAGGTTTAAGGAGATAATTAAATATGGAAGGTTCATTCATTTAAAGTTCTCATTATATTATAAACATATCATAGTAGTTTATTAAGTTTATTTTTTGATTGGTTGTTTTTTTATTTTATTTTATTTTATTTTTTATTGGTTTGCTATTTTTTACCTGTTTATATTTTCTACAATGGCTTCATTTTTAGTACTTGATACAGGAATGTCAGTTTTTGTAATAAATTTTTTAAAAAGTATTACATTCAAACTATGAGACTTGTCAAGATCTTAGTGTGTGAAAAACACAAGCACAAACAAAGTAAATCACAAGAAATAAGTTTTATGTCTAAAACTTATTTTCATTTTTAGGATACATTATAATTCTTATAATAATGTTCTAAATTATTTGAAAAGGTTTGTATTCTTCTACTCTTTTATGTGACAATTAATGTCAGTTGTTAGGTTGTTATGAATAAATTGCTGTTATTTATGTTGTTATTAAAGTAATTTTTTTTTTACCCTTATCATACTCTGTGATCAAAAGATATATATTATATATAGTTATGTAACAGTATATAGTTAATAAAATATAGTTGTACATACAAACAAAATTTTAATAAATCTATCATGCAAATATACTGTTAATTGCTCTCTTACAATTTTCTATGATTATAATTGTGTTTATTCTAAAATTAAAAAACTATTACAAGTTTGAACTTTTTCTTTTTATTGCTAAATAATTTTTTTTTAGGTCTTAAATATCCTGGAATTGAAAAAAAACATTGCTCCATCTTTGTTTCAACAAATAAAGTTTCAATTTCTCCTATCGCTTTTCATACATATTTAAATGATGTTCACCTTACCACAGAAAATTATTTAAGACATGGTGATATTTTAAAGTTCGGGGAACAAAGGTTTCGCTTTTGCAATCCATCTGAAGCTGAACAACTTCGAGTAAATAGAAATTCGGGTATCTTTTCCCCAGACGTGTCTCCATTAGTAAGTGACTAAGTGATTAAATTTATGTATTTATACATTTTACATTTGTTTAACTTATATAAGTTTAATAAAATATTCAAGTTAAATTTTTTATTTTTTTAAAAAAAAAATCCAAATATTTTTATTTTTTAATAAAAAAAATAAAAAATATTCCGGTCTACAAAGTTATGTTTTTGTGGTTTATACAGTCAGAGAAATAAGTATCCAAATATTTTATTGCAGAAAATAAAGTTTGTCTGGATATTTCCAGACAAACTTTATATTTTTCTGATTATTCTGATAGCAAATTAAATCACGATTTTAAATGGCAAAAAAAAAAAAAGTTGGTCATTAACTTAGGTTGTTAAAATTTAGCATCTCCTTAAGAAGTGTTAAAACCTCAACAAAAGATAATTATCCATGAAACATGTTGTTCTCTAAATGAAGTTTTGTATGTGAATATTAAAAAAAGTTTTTATATCAATACTTTTTGAAACATTGTTATTTAATAACAAGTAACTTTTAATAATAGGCTGATATTTTTCAAATTCATTGGATTTACCATTGATATCATGAAGTATGGGAGTTAAAATCAAAGATTGATTTCAAGCTCAGTGTAGTTTGGTTATTGAGTTGTTCAAGGTAAAACATTTAGGTTGATAAATAAAGCAACTGGAATGCTATTAGGAACTATCAGCAATCTGATTAAAAAGTGAAAAATGTTTGGTAATCAGCCAAGATCTAGAGCTAAGCATAAAATTACATCCAGAATTGATCAACAAATTGTCAAGATGATACAAAAAGAATGCATTCTCGAAAAAAAGTTTGGAATACAAATAAGTCAATTTACTAATCGAAATCGATTGAATGAAGGTTTATTTATTATTATTTTAAGCAAGTTAATAATTTAAAGCAAGAGCTCCACAAAAGAAACCGTTCCTCTCAAAATTCCATCAAAATTGTAGACTTAAGCATTCCCTAAAAAATATGTGAATATGCCAGTATTCTGTAAGAAAGTTTTGTGATGAGTCAAAATTTAATCTTGTGAAGTCAGAGGAGGTTCAAAAATGAAGATGAAGCATTCACACTCAGTTGAATTCAAGGAACAGTAAAATTTGGAGGAGGCAATGTTATGGTTTGAGGATCGATGGCTTGAAATGGAACAGGAAAGCTGGAGTTTATTAATAGAATTATGGACTCAGAGGTTTATGTCAATATTCTCAATAAAAATCTTCTGGCCTTAACTAAAAAACTGCGATTGGGAAAATATTTTATCTTCCAACAAGACAACGACCCTATGTATATGTCAAAGTAAGAAATAGAGTTTTTTTATCCAAAAGCAGATTGAGTTACTTGAATGGCCGGCTCATAGTCCAGATCTCAATCCAATTGAACACCTGTGGGCTATTCTAGATAAAAAAAGTGGTACTCGATGTCTAAAGAGAAAAAAAGAGCTAAAGATCATGCTCCAAGAAGCTTGAGCTTAAATTGATCGATATACATCAAAGAAATTAGTTGAATCAATGCATAATTAATTTGAAGAAGTCATAAAAGCTCAAAGCGGTCTAACTAGATATTAAAATTAAAAAAAAAATTAATTACTAAGATATATATCTTATAGCCTTTTGCTGCAAAGGAGTGTCGCTACATTGACTGAGGATTTGGCATGTGGCAACAATCTTTTCTTCATTTTCTGAAAAAGCCATACACTTTTTTTAGAAAAAGAACAAAAAAAATGAAGAATGAAAGAAAAGTTGCTGCCACATCCCAAACCCTCAGTTGATGTAGTAACACTCCTTTGCAGCAGTAGGCAATAAAATAAATAATGTATGAAAAAAAAAAAGAAAGATAAGTAAAACTATTAAGTATATGCTTACCTAAACACACATTTAAATATATATATTTATATATTTATATATATTTGTATTTATTTATATTTATATATATATATAATTACAGTTTTCTTTTTTAAATTTCTTTTAACAATTGCATGTCTTTTTTGCATAAATTATTTTATTTTGTATTTTCTCGACTCGTCTGTAGTTGTCTGGATCGAGGCAGGTATTAAAACTTTTTCCCCTGGTTCTTGGTTTTAAGTCAAGCCTCATTCTACTCCATGGTTTTTCCCTTTTTGTGCAGCTGCTATATCTAACTGTAATCATTTTTTGATCTTTTTGAAAAGAAAAACTTTCGAGAACAAATGTCTTTTTATTATTGCAAGAAAGTAATGTAAAAAGGTGCTGTCTGATACTAAGTTCCATTATTCTCAGTTTACTAAATCTTGTACTTTATCTCAGAAGTTAGACTCTTAGACCTTTTGAAAATCTTTGATAGCATCATTGACAAATATAAGTCAAACATTCCATCTCTAATTTATGGGTTTGATCTTATTACCTCTCCTAAAGACCAAGGCAAAACTATTTGCCAAGAACTTTTCTACTAATTTGGCTCTTGAACCTAATGGCTATATCATTCCTGCCATTCTAGTTAAACAAGTTAACCCATCGTTAGACATCCAAATCACTTCAGTTTCTGTTGCTAAAGTCATTTAAACTCTTTTACAGCTTGTGGTGTAGACAACATTCCTGTCATCTGGTCTTACAAAAGTGTTCTCCATATCTCGCTTTAATTCTCTCTAAACTTTTCAATAAGTGCTTGTTTTACTTGCCTGTCGTAAATTTTGTTTTCTTGCCTGCTGGAAAATGACATCTTTGGTTTCAATTTTTAAAAGCGCTGTAGAACATTATAACCCTTCAAACTATGGTCCGATCAGTTTTCTCTCTATTTAAGCAATGTCTTTTACTCTTTGATTAACATATTTTTAACATCCCATCTTGAGTCAAATAACTCACAGTCTGACAACCAATATGGTTTTCGATCTTCTCATTCTATGGCTGACTTGCTGACTGCTGTGTCTGAAAGGTTCTATCATGCTATCATTCTATCATTAGATCAAGGCAGTTAGACAAAAGCTATTGCTCTTGACATATCTAAACTTTTTAATAAAGTTATTTGTAATAAATGATAAATTGTAAAAATTCTGAGAGTAATAGTAAGAATCATGGATTATTTGACCCACTTTGACCCAATTTGACCCACTTTGACCCACTTGTTGAATGAGAGCAAGTTTTGAATAGAAGTTTGACTCTGCTATATTTAGATAGCCAAGAGCAATATTTAAATAGCCAAGAGAAATATTTAGATAGCAAATATTGTGTCTCATATAACAAGTATTGTGTCTCATGTAACAAGTATTGTGTTTCATATAACAAGTATTGTATTTTATATAACAAGTATTGTATTTTATATAACAAGTATTGCGTCTCATATAAAAAGTGTTGTGTTTCATATAACAAGTATTACAACAAAGTATTAAACAAGTATATCCTCTACAAGAATGTGTTTCATATAATAACTATTGTGCCTCATATAACAAGTATTGTGTCTCATATAACAAGTATTGTGTCTCATATAACAAGTATTGTGTCTCATATAACAAGTATTTTGTTTCATAAACAAGTATTTGGTTTGTTATTAATCTCCTCTTTTAGTTGAGTTCTGCTAAAAATTATGTCACAATCAAATATTTGGCCATATCCAGCACTAAAAACAGTTTAAATAAAATTAAGATTTAATAATTGACAGGTTTTTTTATTAAATTATATTGATCATATTAAAATTTCAGATAAAGTTTCTACTGCTATAACTGATTTAAGAAGTCTTCAATTAATAATTTTCTGAAACAAAGACAAAATATCATTAAATTTCATACTATTTATTAAAAGTTGTTCAAATATTGTTATATTGTTCAAATCAAATTGTTGTAGCTAGCACTTTTAACAGTTTTGTTTAATTCATATAATTGTAAGTATATATTTATCTGTATAGAAATCAAAAGGAGGTACATACCTAAACCTAATTTTAACTCACATGAAGAATTTTAGATATAAAAATTTTTTTTTGTTGAGAATTTATTGTAGATTATTTTGTTTATTCTATGGTTATGTTGCTTATTTTCTTTGTAAATACAGAAAGTTTTTACAATGAAAGTCTGACAGAAAGAGTTAACATATTTAACAAACATCTAGCTTTTATTACCTATTTCACAGGTTCTTTTTTGCTAGCATATGTTACTGAAAACAGGGTTGTTATGTACATATCATATGTTGTTATATACATACAGGGTTGTTATATACATATCATATGTTGTTATATACATATCTTATTATAACATAATATCAAGTTACAATTTTAAATTAAAATGTTAAAAAAATTTGCTAGACTATTGATTTTAATTAGCAACATGGTTAATCAATTGTTTTTGTGTCGAATTGAGTTCATCAAAAAGATGTTCTGAAAAATTAAATCATTGTTATTTCTAAATTACTAACAAGTAGGATAAATCTATTAAATTTAATTATTGAAAAACTAAGTAAAAAAAAATTATTGATGTGTCGCTGAAAAAATGTAAATTTTTTACAATTTTAACAAATTTTAGAGTCTATGAGCAAACAAAAAATGAAACTCTTTACTTAAGTGTATGATATTATATTTTGAATTTTTAGCAAACTCTGATATACAATAGTTTATAAGAATATTTAATGTTTAGGTTATGGATCACTATCGAAGTACTGAATGTTTTAAAGATCTTAATGAAACTGATGCTGCTTTTCTTGAAAATGAAAAAAATAAAAAGTTAGTGCCCACTACAAAGAACAGTTTGTATTTATATACATATATCATTCTGCACATATGTATCAAATGTGTGGTATCATTCTACACATATGCATCATATGTGTAGCATCATTTTGCACATGTGCATATAAATGTTGGTTTAATAGAGCTTTCTTTTCTGTGTGAGAGGTCTATAATAACTCATGTCATTGATAATACTGCTTTTAGTTTTTTCTACTTTTAAAGTAGATTTAGTATAAGATATGTTTTAGAGTAATAATGTTGGGATTAACATGTCCCAACATTACTCTTTCCTCAAACAAAAACGGATCATTAAAAATTTAACTATTATATTTGTTTTTATGTCATTTTGTATTTTATATTTTTATCTGATTTATAGATTTTTTTAAAACTTTAGAAATCTGACTTTTTTAAGACATGATAATAATGGACAGTTTCTAAGAAATCAAATTCGGCAAAAAACAGATCAGCAGTTGATTTCTAATTATAAGTATCATCGCCTTAGCTTTCCGGGAAAATTTGACAACACAATAATGAACCAAACACTAGAAAAAAAATTTAACAGCACAGAAATTTTATGTTCTTCTCCTTTGTCATTCTTTCAACTGGATCAGTTTTCATCAAATTCTGATATGAGCTTATCAACAATAAGTGATAATTATCCAAATTTTTTTGATCCTTCAAGATTGGATCAATCTAATGATGTTTTGAAATTAGATCAATTTAACTTGAGAAACTCTCAAAGTATCCCATCACTTAGCAACTTTGAACAAATTTCAAATGTTTCCTTGAACAAAAATCATCATAAAGAAACAATAAGCGAAATTAATTATGAAATAATGAATGTAGAAGAAAAAAGGTGATTTTTTTTTTTACTAGACATGTTAATTCAATATTGGATAATTCTTAAATTAATCATTAGCTTTGTTTTCACTAACTTTTATAGACTTATTATTGCTAGTTTTCATTAATAACTACCTGTGAGAAATTTAACAAGCATTGTTGGGTTTATTTTTTTTTTTACTTCTATTTGTAATTAAAAATATATTTTTTATCACAGTATATACAGTATATACTTTTGTATATACTGCAATAAAGATAAAACATGTATTTATTTAGATAATATTATTGGTTTATAGGTTTTTTATTGGTTTATAGGTTTTTATAGGTAATTAAGTACCAAGAAAAGTTGTGTTCATATTAAAAAAAAAAAATTTTTTTAATGGTTTCAGTTAAATTTTTCTGATTAAAACTAAATAATAAATGCATTTCAATAAAACTAAATTTTTGTTTTAGTCAAAGCTTGCTTTCTCCATTTTTAATCAAAGCTTGCTTTCTCCATTTTTAGTCAAAGCTTGCTTTCTCCATTTGGTTTTCGGAGTCTTATTAATATGCAACGCAATCTGCAGATTTGATAATATATTTTATGCCTGTTTAATTTATAATAGTTTCAGTAAATGACCTTTTTTTTTCAAGATATTGTAATATTTTTTTCTGCCATAATTAGCAAATTATGTTTATTTGTATAACTTTTTACTAAATTTCAAAAAAATATTTGTAAATACAATTGAAAATAAAACAATATTTTCATCAATCATCAATTTTTATTTTAAGTTAATATATCTTTTATAAAAGATATTTTATATAAATAAAGAAAAAGGTTTTTTAAAAGTATACAAGTTTATATATTCACTTTGTTTTTTTAATACAAGCGTTTAAAATTTATATAAAAAATATGTTTAAATAAATTTTTTCTCTTACACAATACAAGTGCAGTGCAATAGGTGTTCTAATGGTCTTATTTTGAGGCGCGCCTAACATTATATTGTTGTTTATTATAGTTTATTTAGGTACTATCTATAATACCAACTGATAGACACGAATAATAATTAAAAAGTAAATTAAAGCAAAAAGTTCTTATCAACGCAAGAGTTGTACATTAGTAACCTGGTCTTTTCCATAAGCTTGCTTTAAATGTTGTATCTATGAAAAGTCATTATCAAACTTAGTAACTAAGTTCAAACTTAGTAACTAAGTTCAAACTTAGTAACTAAGTTCAAAATTAGTAACTAAGTTCAAACTTAGTAACTAAGTTCAAACTTAGTAACTAAGTTCAAACTTAGTAACTAAGTTCAAACTTAGTAACTAAGTTCAAACTTAGTAACTAAGTTCAAACTTAGTAACTAAGTTCAAACTTAGTAACTAAGTTCAAACTTAGTAACTAAGTTCAAACTTAGTAACTAAGTTCAAACTTAGTAACTAAGTTCAAACTTAGTAACTAAGTTCAAACTTAGTAACTAAGTTCAAACTTAGTAACTAAGTTCAAACTTAGTAACTAAGTTCAAACTTAGTAACTAAGTTCAAACTTAGTAACTAAGTTCAAACTTAGTAACTAAGTTCAAACTTAGTAACTAAGTTCAAACTTAGTAACTAAGTTCAAACTTAGTAACTAAGTTCAAACTTAGTAACTAAGTTCAAACTTAGTAACTAAGTTCAAACTTAGTAACTAAGTTCAAACTTAGTAACTAAGTTCTAACTTTGTAAGTTCAAACTTATTTATCTTGTATGTCAAGGTTTTCAGACCTCAAGTTTGATCATCTCCTTGTTGCTTCATCAAAAACTGGTTAGACCACCTTAAATTATAAATGAATATAAACAACTTTTTAAATTTATAGAAACCAATAAAAATTAAAAGATATTTAATAATTAAAATAAAGCGCTAGGATCATTTCAAAATGCTAAATGATATTTACATTAAACTTCTCTGGAGTGAAGTGGAAACCAAGAAAACAATTTAGGACTTTATTTACTCAATTAAATAGGAGCAGGCGATACAAAGCCAAGCATTTAAATATAGATTAGATTAGGAGAAGATTCTAGACCTAAATTTTCTGAAATTTCTAAATATTTATTGTAAAATTATTTTAGGATACTTTTGCAAGATCTTATTTCAAAGTTTCGCAAAAGCCAAGCTGAACAAATAGAATGTTGTTATGAAAGTATTCACAGAGCATCAATTAATAGTAATTTGTTTATGACACAATACAACAAATTAGAAACGTTGCAAGCTTTACAAAAAGAACATTTAAAAACTGCATCATCTGATTTGTTTAATTTTAAAAATAAAATTCTTGAAGAAAAATATAAAAAGCGCAATAGTGCAATGTTTGAAATAAATAACAGTTTGTTAAGTTTGATAAACAATGATAATGATACTGTAGTTGATGACACAATTCGACAGAAAGTAACGAAAAAAAATTATGCATTAAAATTAGAGATCGAAGATTATTGGAAAAAAATGGATTTGTACCATGATTTACTTGTTGTTTCAGAGATAGGTAAAATTAACTTGTTAAATGAAGAACAACTTGTAAAACAATGCAGAAAGTATATCAGTGAAAGACATCTTCAGGTTTTTAATATTTGTTGTATAATAATTTTTTATATTACTCTTTTGAAATGCATATATATATATTTATATATGTATGTATCCATTAGTATGTATATATTTATGAATGTGTATATGCAGCCCTCAGAACTAGGAAAAATAAGGTTGGCAAAAAAAATACCAACCAAAACTGTTTTAGCTCAGTTTGGCAAAAAGTTTTAAAACAAGGTTCAAATTGACAAATATTCAAATTTTTGGCATAAAATTGACATAAAAACAAATGCGGAGTTTGCAGACTTTTCTTTTAAATGTCAACATTTGCTAAAAAATAAAATAAACAAACAAAAGTTTTGCCTATTTTATTTTAACTGATTTGTTTGCAGTTTATAAAAAAGGTTTGTATTTAGCATTCAAATACAAATAGAATCTTGGTTTTGTTGTTTATTTTTAAATATTTACTAGGAGTTTAAAGAAAAGTTTGCTTTTAAATTTTTTTTTTGTAATGTATTATTTAATTTAGAATTTAATTGAAATGTCTTTTTTAATTAATTCATATAGAATTTACATAAAACAATTGTTTTTATTTTAATTATATTTAAAATTTAAATAAAACATAGTTTATTATTATTATTATGATTGTTATTATTATTATTATTATTATTATTGTTTTATTTAAAATTTACCTTCTTTTTTTTTTGTTTTAATTTAGTTTTTTTTATATAGAATTTATATAAAATGTTTTTTTTATTATTATATTATTTAAATTATATTATTATTATTTTATTTAAAATTTAAATAAAATTAAGTTTTAAAATTTTGAGGTTGGCAAAAAATTGCTGATCTCAGCCACTGTCAGGTCAGCAGTTAGGTCAGCATTAGCGAATGCGGACCCTAATTCTGATTCTGTATTTGAATAAATATATATATATATATATATATATATATATATATATATATATATATATATATATATATATATATATATATATATATATATATATATATATATTTATATATATATATATTTATATATAAATATATATATATATATATATATATACCACTTATCTAATTTTCTTCAACTGTTTGTTACTTCTTCTGTAGGTTCATCAAGAAGCTTCCTGATGAACCTATAGAAGGCACAGTTAGGAAAAATCTGAGTTGACCCTTAAGTCAGTTCTCGAGAAAACCGCAATATATCTGTGAAAGCTTATGACCATGGAATTCCAAAACTGTAAAAATTTAAATCTACCTATATCCGAGAAAGAAAATCAATTTTTAAAATTTCCTTTATTGCACAAATATGTGAAATGACAGCATGCCAAAATTTTTCATTTTTACATTATTCATAATGAAATAATACAAGCAACATATAAAAAAAAATACTTTAATTCTACATGGCTTGACATGGAAACTCTCTTTTAGAATTTTTTTCTCCTTAAAAGATTTGATTTCATGAAACATTTTTTCTCTAATGCTGATTATTCTTAGGTAATTCCTTTTGTTGGCTGAAGCTCGCATCAATAATTCTTGCTGTTGAAATCAACAAGGTACATAAGAAGCCTTTTTCCATATTCTGAATGACTTATTGGGCGTTTGTACCTTTCCCAATGTAAATTGCAGTGGTGCATTGCTTCTGTTGTTTGTTCGCCATAAATTCCAAGTGGTATCTTTTTCTGTTTGAAGTCTTTAACATGAAAAAATACTGCATGAACTTTTGGTGTGACACTTCCAATGGGCAAGGATTAAAAGAAAATCTTGAAAGCATCTACTATTTCTTAAAATTGCACATGCAATTTGTTGCCAAAACAGGGTGATACCACATCAGCAAATATTTGCAAGTATCAATGATGGGAAAAACTTGAAAAGCATTGTCCTTTTCAACAATAGTTTGCAAAAGATCTTGAAGCCAATCATCTACTTTTGGCCATACATCTTTGAGAATCTTGAAAAGATGATTCACAACACCAAGTAGAAGATGCAATTCCACAGGTGGAATAAGATTCATTACCAAAGAAGAATCACCAAGAGAAAGAATAGGCTCGTGAATACGTTTCCAAACTTCTTGGCATTTTTGGTGTTTGAACCTGCTGCAGAGAAGGCATGGAATGAATCTTTCGAAGAGCCAAATGTTCTTAGAGTCCCACAGTTTGCAAAATTTGAACTTTCAGCAGTACATCATGTGCATGGATGGGAAGAAGAATGGGTCTGCAGGCCACATAAAATGTTGGCCAATTTCATATCACATGAGATGACAAATTTCATATCCTGGATGTCAAGAAGAAAAAGAATGAGCCTTATATTTGTATAATTTTCTTGAACACCTTCAGCCACAGCCACAAGAAGTTATCTTTTCACACCAGTATCTTTTGATGTTTGGCATGTAAGCAATCGTTTGCCGGGAGGTGAATAATTATTGTGCTGTGGTTCCGATTCGGAAACTTCAAGACAGACTTTTAAAAATCCTCAAACCCCATCAATCCCCAATTTAACAATATGGTTTAAAAAAATCTTGTGTGACAGAAGTAGATCTTCAATAAGGGAGTTCAGGCTTTTACAATGTGCCACCACATGATTTGTTTGTTTGTTTTGTCAGAGTTTGTAAATGCAATTGCTGTCTGAGTGATATTTTTACTGTCTTCAATATTTTTGCCGATATATACTGTCTTCAATATTTTTGCTGAGATCTTAAAATTTTTTAACTAGCCTGTAACTATTTGTACCTGAGCAAGATCTTTGGCTGTTGCAACTGGTTGATCCTTTAAAAAGTTATCACTGGAGCAAAAGTCAATGTTCACTTTTTACAATTTTACTTTATTTTATAGAGAAAGAAGTTCTCAAACATAAATGTTTTTGTTACCTTTCACAAGATGACACATGACACAGGATTTATTTACAAAGCTTAGGACGATATACCTAGATATATCACTGAAAATCTACCTGATGTATCAAGTGTGAAATACTTTTCCGATGGTTGTGCAGCACAATTTAAAAATCTTAAAAACTTTATCAATCTTTGTCGTCACAGTAAAGACTTTGATTTAAATGCTGAATGAGTATTTTTTGCTACCAGTCATGGTAAATCCCCCTGTGATGGTATTGGTAGGACTGTTAAAGGAGTAGTATGTCAACAAAGTCTAAAACAAATAACTACTGGCCAGATTTTAGATGTTTATTTAATGTACTTCTTTTGTAAAGCCAAGATAAATAGAATTTGTTTTAAATTATTTTCTAAAGATGAAATCGACCAAATACGAGCAAAATTAGAAAAAAGATATTTAGGTGGAAGAACAGTTCTTAGCACAAGGATGTATCATCATTTTATTCCAATTGCTTTAAACGCTATAAGTTATAAAAAAAAACAAGTATTAAAACATGTTTTGAAATATTTGATATTATTCCGAAAAGCAAACATAATAAAAAGATTTCATTAAACATTAAAAAAATGGATTATATTGCATGTTTTTATAACGGATTTTGGTTGGTAAGGATTGCTAAAGATGTGGGTGAGCTTAATATAAAAGTCAGTGTCATGCATCCACATGAGAGGTAAAAACTGCTTTTGGCCAATGAGAAATGACAAGTGTTGGGTGCTCAATGCTGAAATTGTATGCCTAATTTTTACACCCACAACAACGCATTAGGTCATACATACAACATATCTGATTTAGATTTGGAGAATATAAGCAGTTGGTTACAAAAAAAATTAAATACGTTTAAAATAATTTTGTTGTAATTTTATTTACCTATTTTGCATTTAGAATTTGTCTTTCTTTTTTTCAAATCCTTGGATAAAAGGATGAAAAGGAGGGGGTTTAAATAAATACCACTGTCGACCTTATCATGTCAATGACTATATTAATCTTAAACTACTAAATAATACCATAAAAATATTGAGTGTTAAAATGTTTTAAAAAACATTTCAATATTTTTGGTTTTAAAATTTATGATTTTTTGAAATTGCGAAAAGATCTCAGTTTTGAGTGCTTACTTTGAAATAAAAGGTAAGTATTTATCGATTTGAAATAATGCAAATAAATTGTTTCTCAAACTTAAGCCAAAAAAAAATTTTGTTTTTAAATTGAGTTTTAATAATTATTTATCATTAATTCATTTTATGTATATATATAAAAAAGAAAGTCCAGGGGGGAGGGGTCGAGTTATTCAAAGGGCCCCTGGCCCTCCCTTGGACCATAACTATAAATGTCTTAAACTAGTCAATAAATAACACTATTTGATGTTTTATTCAAATATATGTTTTAAAAAACATTTCATTTGCTTTTGTTAATTAACTTTTTACTGGGGATTTTGGGCCACAGCCTATATTTTACTTCCAAAAATCATGAGTTTCATAAAAATCATAAAAGTCAATCATTTTGAACAAAATCGGATAAACGAGGCATTTCCTGAGACAATCGAGTTTTGAGGGTGCTTTTTTTGGATTCCTTAAGTAAAAATCTATTGGGATACCAAATTTAGGAAATTTCTCCAGGCCATTATGAAGATACTATATGTTAAAGTAGCTTTATAATCGCTTCAGATAATCACTAAAATGCTGAGTCAGTTTTTTTTAACTGACGATATCTCTGGAACCTATGTGTATTTTTAACTAAAATTTTTGCAGTTATTATTTTTTTTTTATATGGACTGCAAATGAAGTAAAAATGAACAAATTCTGAGACGTAAGGGTATGTGGATAGTATCTTTATAAATTTTTAAATTTTTATACTGTTGTTTTGTAAACAACACTTTATAAATATAAACAATCGATTAATGATGTTAAAATTTTTCATTATACTTTCTTTTGTCTTAGTGAATAACAATGCTATTGAGCGTGAAACATCCTTATAACATCTTTGAAACTTTGAAGAGGGAGTGAGAAAAACAAATTATTTTTATGTAACTTTGTAAAAAAATGATCAATGTTTACATAAATTTTTTTCAAGTTTTTGTAAATTATAAATAAATACGTGTAAGTAAAAATAAATACGTTTAATTTTTTTAATAAATTTAATTTTATGAATAATAACAAGAGAAAAGCCAGTTTTATTTCATAACAGATTAATTCTCTCAGTTATATAAAAATTGCCTTCAAATATATAAAAAAATAAAAACAATTAATAAGAAAATATCACAAACTACTTTTTTTGTTTGTTTGTTTTTTGTGAGCATGAAAATGCAAGTTTTTAAAATATTTTTCCTTCCAAAAAAATCAAACAATTGTTTCTATTTTGATTTGAACCATCTCAGAAAGAAAAAAAAAAGTTCTATAAAAATATAAAATTTATCTTTTTTTTTTTAAAAAAAAAAAAACAACCTAATTCACTCCCAACAAGGCAGCAAGCAACCATTATTTATATTGGAAGTTTCAAGAAAACACATAATATTATTAAAAAGAACGAAAATGGTTGGCAGAAAAGTTTAAATTGTATGCATTGGGAAAACATAAAAATGGGAGAAAGTTTATAAGAACTTCAAGAAAAGAGACTAGATAAAAATTTTCTGAGCATGAAGGGAAAGAAACAATTATAGATACAATATAACACAATCGGTTATGGTGTAGTACCATTAATATCTTTATAATTATTTATGTATTTTAGGGATATTTTATTTACGTATTTTAGAGATATTTTAGGGAGGTAGAGAATAAAGAGAAGCAGTCTTAGAAAATGCTAAATTCGCAATAGATTTAATGGGTGATTTCAATTAGAGGTTTGTATTGAATGATAATCCAAGAAGACATAAAGTAGAGGACTGGGTAAGAGTGTTGCCATTCATCAATATATAAACATCAGCAATATTGCGATAATGCTTTGTTACATTTTACTAGTAGTAGTTTACTAGTGATCATGAGATTTTAAGCCTGACCTGATCTAAAGAAATTAAAAGAAGTTACTTCTGTAGGCAGTTCCCTAATATATTTCTCAAGAGATTTTAGATATACACTACTGTCAATAATTATTTGAATGATATACAATTTTTCAAAAACTGCTAATTTAATAGTTTTTAATGTTTATTTTTGCATTATTAGTATAATAGTATTTTGAATAAAATGCTTTGATAAAAATCATTAAAGTAATAAAAAATAGGCATAAAAAAAGTGGGCAAATCAATGTAAAAAATGGACCATCAATGAATAAAAACATGAACTGATGAATCAAAGTTTAAAACCTTTGCTTTCAAGAGAAGGTTGTTTGTCCAAAGAAAAGTGTTTAACGTATGACAAAACAGTCTTTATTATTGACTGCGAAACATGGTAGATGTGTAGTGTTAAGGTGTGGGACAGTTTCGGATTTGTATGCCACAGGTGACATTTAAAAAATAGAGGGAATAATGACAAAAGTAGTTTATTTGAACATTTTAAAAAAGTCATGCTATACCTTTGGAAATTTGTTTTAATGGAAAGCCATTCATTTAAAGAAAAAAATAATCTAAAGCTTAAATTCAAAACATATTCACCAAAACATTGTATAAGTTATTTGACTGAGTTAGAAATGAATTAGTTAGAATGATCAAATATTAAATAGAATGTTTGAAAGTTGAATGTAGGATGTTAAAAATTAGAAAGTTAAAATGATCAAATATTAAATAGAATGATTTGGCTGCCGATCTCTCTCCTATCAGATTTTAATAGGATGAATTAAAAGTAATGTCAAAAGCTATGTGTAATGTTGCAAAAGATGTGGAAAAAACTTATTAGTGAGTTGCATAAAATTGACTTCAACATATTGAATAAGTTGTTAAGTAGAATGCCAAGAATATGTAAAGGGCTTGTTACCAAGATTGATTAAATAGGTAAGTAATTTAAAACTAATCTAAAGGGACTATTTATTAATTTTTATGTACGCTTAATAAATAGAAAAATAACATAATTCAGGCAGATTTTGTTTTTAGTTTTTCTCTAAATAATAAAAGTTATATATATATGTGTGTATAAATATATGTGTGTATATATATATATATATATATATATATATATATATATATATATATATATATATATATATATATATATATATATATATATATATATATATATATATATTATATATATATATATATATATATATATATATATATATATATATATATATATATAAATTATGAAATCACTTATCAAACTTTTTTCATTTTTCACTGTTTTAACAATCAAGATTTATCAAAAATGAATTTTAAATAAATGATGTGATATAAATGTTAATAAAATGAATGTTAAATAAAACTTAAATTTATACCAAAAGTTAAATTACAGGAAGTAATAAGTCTATTCTTTAAACAACACCAGCATATAATATTTCCAAAAAATGTATATTATGCTTACAAGAAAAGTTTGAAATAATTACACATACGAATCAACATTGTTTATTGATTAAAAAATAAAAATTAATTTCTAAATGCAGGCATGAAAATAAGTTTCTCTTATATATACTATAAAAATTAGTGAACTCAAAAAATAGTTATATTAAATCCCCTTTTTAAAAACTTTAAAAAAAAAAAAAGAAAAAGTAAACAATTCTATATATATATATATATATAATATATATATATATATATATATATATATATATATATATATATATATATATATATATATATATATATATATATATATATATATATATATATATATATATATAATGTTTTGTATTAATGATTTTAGGTTGCTGGAGTTCAAGAAAGTATAACCAAATCAGAGTCAATAATCTCATGTTTGACAACAGATGTAGATGAATGTCATTTAAGTGAGCAAAAATTAAAACAAGAAATTGAAAAAATAAAGATAGATTACCTTGCTAAATTTTGTGAAAATGAAGAACATTTTAATAAATTGCGCTGCTCACATAGTGTTGAATTAGACATACTTATAAATGAGCTATCTGTATTAAATGAACAAATAGAGCAAACAAATAGAACAAATGATGTTATTGTCAATGTTTATTCAAATGACATTCATGAAGATGAATATAATAAAAATATAGTTACCAGTACATATTCTGAAAACAATATAGAATCAAAAAATAAAGACAATGAATTAGAGTTAAAAAACAAAAGGGATATTAAAAAAAAGCTTATAGAAGAAACTAATCAAAAGATTCAGAATTCCATACTTGATTGTCGTTATATGTCTCTTCAGTTGCAAGATGAAATGTATTGTAGAGTTACCCAAAATGAAACACTTTTAAAGTCAAAGCAGGATGAAATTCATGCTATTCAGAAACAGATACATAATGAACAGTTGAAGTTAAAAAATTTTATTTCCAATTTAAATATACTTCAATCAAATTCCTACATAGAGCAAGCTTTAGAAACATACTATGTTAATCAAACATCAAAAACTTACAACAGCTACATGGATAGTTTTAATTCATCTCAAAAAATTCTTAAACAAACTTATGCTCAACTTAAAGAATCCCTAGAAAAAAAAATTCAAGATGAATTTTTTTCTCTTGAGGAAATACTTGATTCAATACCACATAAAAAATCTCAAAGGGGATGTTTAGGATCTAATGATACACATACCCCTTTGAAATATCAACAGGGTATGTTTAATAAAAATTTGCAACTTGTATTTCATTCAGCAAATCCTTTTACCCATGTAAATGATATTTCTAAGCTGCATATGACATATGAAAACACAAAATATCTTCTCATGGTCACATGTAAAGAAATTTGCTTACTCCTCCAAACACATTTAAAGTTACACTTAGAATTTATAGAAGATTATTTTCAAAAATCTGACTTAGATATTATATATAAAAATGACAGGTATTTTATAATGGCATTTATTTGTTGTTTAATGTTTAAGTATTGCAATTGCGCTAAATTATCTTCATTTTAATAAGTTGTATAATGATTGTATTGGTTAAATAAAAATGGTTACTATGGTTGCTTACTTTTAGAGAAAAGATTCATGATTTAATGAACTTGCTTGATATGAATGAGAACAATCTTTATATTAAAAACTATAAAAGTGAGGAAAACCAAGCTATTAGTTTCCAAAATAACATTAAAAGACTGGAAAATGAGTAGGCTTTTTAAAATAGTAAATTACGTTTTAATTTTTTTTGTTTGTTTTAATGTTTTTATTAAGTTTTTTTTATACTATATATATATATATATATATATATATATATATATATATATATATATATATATATATATATATATATATATATAAACTAATTTAAAACATCAGATAATACGAATTCTCTCAATACTAAATAGTTTATTTGAAATTTCGCTGGATTATAGGCATCAGCATCATCAGCATATAGTATAATATAATTACAAAAATTGTGAACGTTAAATAACAACAAAAAAATTTTTAAATTTTGACGTCACCTTTATAATGGCTTCTTTTACCTAAGTATGAAAAAAATGAAGTCTAAAAATTTGTTTTTAAATGTTGTCCATTGTCCAAATTCATACCACTGTACATTGGAGAACATTGATGTTTTTGTATCTCCAATGCCTCACGGACTTTTCTTTCAAAAACTTTGTCCTCAACTTTAAGTGTTATTACTTTATTCCATTTAATGTCCTCATTACAATTTACTTTATGCAAAGCTAATGCAGACTGGTTTAACTTGCCTTCAGTCAAAAATTTTTGGTGTTGTTGAACCCTTGTTCGTATTTGAAGTTTTGTTTCACCAACATATACTTTGGAACATTTGCACTTAATTAAATAGGTTCCTGGAGTGCTGTTGCGTGGTAATTTGGACTTATTTTTAGACGTTAATAGCGTTTTTAGGTTAGCATTTGATTTAAAAACTTTTCTGTAACCAGCTTTTCTGAATATTCTTCTAAGTCAGGGAGATATTATTGGTATCCATGGTAAAGAAATTGTAGGAAGGTTACTAGAGTTTGATGGAATTTCATTTTTGTTTGCAAAACGTTTTTTCCGAACTTGATCAGAAATATCTTTTTTATATATATATATGTGTGTATATATATATAAAATGGATACAATGAATTTTTTCATTGTATCCATTTTCAGTAAACACTTGAATTAAAAAATTTATCTTATCTTTTAAATGGTTTTTGCTGCATATTGAGTATACTCTGTGTATGTATCCGTTGAATATTGCTTTTAAAATTTTGGGACCATGATTAGAATGAGGTTTGATTTGGATATTGGTTATTGCATTATTCCTGTAAACCTTAAACTCATATTTTCCTTGTGTATTATTAATAACAGTTATATCCAAAAAGTTAAATATCTTATTTTTGTTTTCAACTTCAATAGTATATTTTAAAGAAGGATGTTGTTTGTTAAGATTTGTTTGGAACTGTTCCGCTTGATTTAAGTTATAAAACCTTGTGTGGCTATCGTCTACGTGTCTGTGAGAAGATTTAATATCAATTAAAGGAATCATTGTCGTTGCCATTTTTATTGCCTTTTCCTCATGGTATTGTCAAAAAGATTTAGCCAAAACAACCATAAAAGACAATCCGATTGGGCCTGAGTTCTCCAACTCATGAATCTAATCATTTCACAAGAAATAACAACAAAACAGTTGTTTTGTTTCAGTTAAAGTAAGTTTAGTTGAGTTTTTGTAAGATACGCTTTTATTTAATTGATCCAAAAGTATTAAAACTGCTTCTTTTAATGGTATTGATGGGTATAAGTTTATGATATCAAAGGATACCTGTATTTCATCCTTGTCAATTAACCACGACTTAGTTTTGTTAATAAAGTCTTTTTCATTTAAGACCGGTTGTATTCTTTTAACCAAATAATTCGAAATTCCATAACAAGGTGTGCCAATAGTTGATACAACTACTCTCATTGGATAAGATTTTTCTTGTTTATGAGTTTCAATTAGCCGATACAAACGTGGTGGGACAGGATCACTTGGGTATACGCTTTCATATTCATCATTAGAAAAATGTTGCTTTTTGTTAAGTTTTGAAAGGAAAGACTTTATTTTAGCTGCATAACTTAGAGTGGGATCAATACTAATTTTTGTTGGACCAATCTGTTCTCTAATTTTTTCAATTGCTTTATCATGTTCTATTCTTATGAATCCTATTTCTTTATCAAATGGATAAATATCAATTTTCTTGTCTTGAATAATTTCTTTAAAAGCTTTTCTTTGATCTCTCGTTAGATTATGATTAATTTTTTTTGCCCATTTTAAGTTCTCTCAGTACATTTTTTCTTTGGTTTGCGCTTTTTCAATTTCTTTATTATATTCAAGTTTTAAGGCAGACGATTCAGTTGTTGTAATAATGTTCATGTAAGGTATAGATCTCAAGGAAGGTACAAAGTGTGGATCAAGATTCAGAAGATGGATTTGATTTTCAGGTATCTTGGTATCACAAAGATTTAAAATCACGTTTTTAGTGTATTTTGTTAATTTCTTATTACTTTTGTTGTAATTGAATTCACTTTGAAGTATTTTGAACTTTTTAATTAATCGTTCTTTAGATTTTATAAACATATTTTCATGAGCTTTTTCAGTGATAAATAGCACTTGATTATAGTCTTTGTTTTCAATCTTATTTTTAAGATCTTTCACGAGGTTTTTAGTAATATTAATAAGATTAAAGTATCGTCTTTTAGAATCATTTTTTATACAAACTAAAAGTTCAAATCTAAAATGAAAAATAATACTTCTTGCTTTCCTTGAATTTACAGGACAATTGATTCGTAAAGATTTCGGAATTAACTTGTTTCTCGCATTTTTGTAAAAAATTTAAATTGATTTTTAGATGTAGCTATTGACTTCTTCAAATCTTGTAATTCTTTGGTTATTGTATAAACTCCAGCTCCGTATTTAGCTGTTATGAATGATTTAAATGTTAACATCTTGTAAGAGAGTATATATATATATATAAACTAGTTTAAAACATCAGATAATATATATAATAAGCAATTTTTTAAAATTTAAAATAAGCAATTTATTTGATCTAAAACTTGAGATGGTAACCAAGTACTCTCTACTCACTTTTACTGAGTACTCTAAAGCTCAGATTATCATTCACCTCTGACCTCTCGTGGATATCTATTGCAAAGCCAGATTTTCTTCATTGTGCTCGCCATTTCTTTACTCCCAATTTCATTCTTTATCTTAACAAATTGCTTTTTTGTCTCTGTATGCTGTTGTCATATTTGTGCTGGTTGTTTCAATGTTGCCTTTTCACTTCTCAAAAAAATTTAAAATGGTATTGTAAATGTAGTTAAACCTGGTTTAGCTGCCAAGTTTGAGCCCATCTTTTTAGTATCGTAAAGTTGGACCTCTTTCTCTATTCTACAAATGTTATCATGGTTGCTACTACAAAAATTTATCTGTACTCAAAGTTATTGTCTCTAAATCCATCTAACTAAAATCATTCAGCAAAGTTGCATCCTTTTATTGTATTTGTTTCTTTGTATTGGTGTGGCAGAATAGTGTCACAAAATTTTGATTGTTGTAAATTTATAGTTCTTCAAGTCTATATGGATCATTATTTTTTATGCATGGTAATTTTCATAATTAATGAGTTGAACTCTCAAATTAAATAATTTTTGTTTATGATTGCTTATGATTTTTTTTTCATATGCTTATTCATTTAATCAAACTTTTGCATCGATTTCAATATGGATATTATATTTAAGTTTTTCTTAATTTTCTTAAAATCCTTTCAGAGATAACATGGTTCAGAAAAAAATACTATATATATATATATATATATATATATATATATATATATATATATATATATATATATATATATATATATATATATATATATATATATATATATATATATATATATATATATATATATATATATATATATATATATATAATATATATATATATATAATATATATATATATATAATATATATACATATAATATATATACATATAATATATATATATATTATATATATATATATAATATATATATATATGTATTATATATATATAAATATATATATATATATATATACTTATATTTATATATATATATGTGTGTGTATATATATATATATATATATATATATATATATATATATATATATATATATATATATGTGTATATATATATATATATATATATATATATATATATATATATATATATATATCGATTGATGTTAAATTTGTATTACAATAGTAATACAAAACTCTATTTCGGTTAAGAGTGCTCAATAATAAAGAAAGTAAACAGCTTTCTAATTATATATATATTTATTTTTATTTACATATAGAAAAAACAACTTTTCATGGGACTAATAGTTTCATGCCTATACGGCAATCATCAGCCATGTACTATATTAAAAATAAACAAATCGTTAATAATATATATATATATATATATATATATATAATATATATATATATATATATATATATATATATATATATATATATATATATATATATATATATATGAAAACAAAAATATTTTATATATATTTTATTAGAAAAGCTGTGAAGAAAAATGAAATTTTAGTTTGTTTGTTTTTTTAATTTTAATTAAATTTAAGAATTAGCTAACTAAAAATATTGCTTTTTATTAAATTTAGAGGATATTGAAATTTTTTCTAAATTTTTATGTGAAGAGCTAATGGTAACAATTTTATCTCAAATGAAAACAAATAACATATTGTAGTAAATTAATATTGAGGGTATCCTCCCTTAGATTTAATTACAGCTTGAATTCTTTCAGGAACACTAGCAACCAATTTGCAGCATTCCTCGGGTGTAATTGAGTACCAAATCTCTTGTACACAAGCCCAAACTTCATCCTTATTTTTAGGTGGAGTAGGAGAGTTGTCGACCCGTTGTTTAACTATTGCCCATAAATTTTCGAGTGGGTTAAGATCAGGGCTTTGTGCTGGCCAGTCAACGACTTTTAATTTCTTCTTGTGAAGGAGTTTAATGGTCTTATCAGCCTTATGCTTGGGGTCGTTGTCTTGCATGAACATCATGTTACGTACAGTTCTGCCCCATTTTCGAAGGGACTTGAAATATCCGACCTTAAGGATGTTGATATAGTCATCAGCGCTCATTATTCCATTAATTTTCACT